GCCTGAACTTTGACCAAAATAAACATCTTGGCCAATCTTTTCGATCTATAACATCCTGGCCCGAACTATACACCAAAATAAACAATTTGGCCAAACCCGATGTTTGACTGTTAACTTGGACGGTCAAACGCGCTGACTAACGGTCAACGCGCCACGTCACTGCCAAGTCAGAAGATATGATAAATATTTAATTTTTTTCGTTTTTTATTTTTTATTTGACTAAGGTATTAGATGATTTTTTTAATTTAAAATAAGGAAATGTGTGGAAATTGTGAATTATTTTAAATATTTTATGCTGATTTGGCGGTGACATGGCGCGTTGACTAACGGTCAACGCGTTTGACCGTCCAAGTTAACGGTCAAAAGTCGAATCTGGTCAAATTGTTTATTTTTGTGTATAGTTCGGGCCAGAATGTTATAGATCGAAAAGATTGGTCAGGATGTTTATTTTGGTTAAAGTTCAGGTCATACGAAAATATTAACCCCAAAAAATTTAATGGATGTCGTATATCGGTTAATCGTTGATAGAATCTTTCATGTGATATTATATAAAAGTCATATATAATACATAATCTATAAATGAATTTAGGGCTAATACCACCGGAAATACCATCCTTTAGCGAAAGTGTCATTTGTATTACGTATTTTCAATAAACACAAAAGCATTCCAACATATTAGGGGTTTGTGCCATCTGTGTTACGCGAATTTCTGTTGACCGTTAGATCTAACGGTTGACCTAACGGTGGTCAAACTTTATCTGACCACTAATGAAGTGGCGCCTGTGTGTTGTCCACGTAAGTGACACATAGATGCCATGTAGGAAATTAATAAAAAATCAATTATTTAATATTTAAATTAATTATTTAATAATTTAATAGAAAATTAACTCTTTTTTTGACACACCCACCCTTTATTTGACGACACCCACCTAGGGGAGGAGAGCGGATCCAGTGACTAAGGGGGGGTGCTTAGTCACTTGACTAAGCCCCTCCCAGCCCTTAGATCTGGACACTTCAATCCAATGGTTAAAAAGTGGGAAGGGCTATTTAATTAATGACAGGGGTAGTTTGGGTATTATGGAAAATTGCGAAGTATACAAACCGGATTTACAATCAGTACAAACCATACAAACATACGAACAGTACAAACTAGAGCGACAAAACATACAAACATTACAAACGTATGAACTGTACAAACAATACAAACTAGACTGACAAACAATACAAACCATACGAACGGGAAAAAACACTCGGGTTGACTTTGGAGGCTCCATCCCTATATAGAGGGGCTCCTTCCCAAAGTCAACCCGGGTGTTTTTTAGACATACAAACAGTACGAACATGGTGGACAAAAATGACAAACTAGACCGACAATCCATACGAACGGGAAAAAACACCCGGGTTGACTTTGGAGGCTCCATCCATATATAGAGAAGTTTCATCCAAAAGTCAACCAGGTTGTTTTTTAGACATAAAAAACATTACAAACATGGTGCACAAAAATAACAAAGTTTACAAACATTACAAACATGGTGCACAAAAATAACAAAGTTTACAAACATTACAAACATGGTGCACAAAAATAACAAAGTTTACAAACATTACAAAATAATAAAGCGTACAAACATTACAAAATATGTCAACAAACATCACAAAACATTGTCGCCGAAAAATTCTTCTCCGTCGACGATGATCGCCGGAAAAAAAATTTCCGACCAGAATCAATATCTCTCTCTCATAATTCCCTGGGCAAAAATCTCTCTCGCTGGGATAATTCTCTCCTCTCTCTCTCTCTCCTCTCTCTCTCTCTCCCTCCCTCCCTCATAATTCCCTGGGCAAAAATCTCTCTCGCTAATTCCCTGGGCAAAAATTGGGGAATAATTGCCACACTCCCCCTGGGAAAAGTGGTCGGCCGGAGAGAAGGATTGGCATGGCCGGCGGGAAACTTTCTGGAAAAAATAACCAGGCCGTCGGAGAAGGAAATGGATGGGCGGGCATGGGCTGTATTTTTATTTAATTTAATTGGTAAATAAAAAATAAATAATTAAATTACTACATTACTCTTCATTAAATTGGATTAATCAGGACCATAGGATTTTAATGAGGGGGAAGGGCTAAGATTCACTTAGTCACATGACTAAGGGACCCCCCCTTAGTCACCTGATCTTAGCCCCCTAGGGGAGAGCCCGCCGGCGCCGGCGAGGAAGAAGCGAGCGTTATTATGTTGGGAAGAAGAGGTCGCCGGTGCCCAAGGAAGGTTAATTCAATCCTCCCAAACCCAACTTTCTCCAAAATCCAGCTTTCTTCTTCTTCAATCTCCCATACCCAGCTTTCTCCGGCGGGTCGAGCTTCTCCTTTGGCGATGGTGGATCGATGGCAACGACCAGGATAGCGAGATGGCTCAATCGGGTAGGGGAGTGGCTTGAGACTTCGGCGGCGCAATCGCATCTCTCTGTCTCTACCTCTCTCGATCTGCAGTGGTCGATCGACCTTCTCTCTCTCACTCAATCCCATAAACAAAACAGAAAAAATCATTGCCCAATCTCAATTCATATCCCGCGAGAGCTTTTGAAACAGAAGCTTCCCGTTCGAAATCAAGGAATTAGGAGGGTCACCTCCAATTGAAATAGATAGGAGCTGACTCTGTCTCCGGCTCCCTGTCTCCTCTTCATCGCCCCGCGAAACAGAGTAGCATCGATGACGCTTATCACCGCTACGGATTCCCTTTTGTGGTGTTCCGGATCAGCGCTTGAGGGAAGGAGAGAATCAAGGTGAAGGGAGTGGCGGACGGAGAGACGGTGGGAGCCGCTGTGAGGATGTGGTGGTGGTGGTGCCAGCGACAGAAGATGTTGAGAAGTTGGGGGAGATGGAAGAAGAGAATGTGGCGGAGGGGAGAGCGAGAGAGATAGGGAAGATGAAGAAAGATATATTTCCTTTTTTGCTTTCATTTTTTTTACAATTATTTTATTAGAATTTTCCACATCAGCTGTCATGTCATCGCTGACTGTATTTTCTGTTAACTACTAACAGAAAACTTAACGCCTGGTATACAATTGTCATATCGAAAGTTACATAATATAAATGGCACTTTCGCTAAAGGATGGTATTTCCAGTGGTATTAGCCCATGAATTTATCACTAACTATAAACAATTTCAGTCATATCCTACTGCATGGTATCTCACTCTTGTAAGTTGTAGGCACGAATCTTGGGGACCCGGAGTAAGGTAACAAATAGACTTTAGAAAGAGATTTAGATTGGCTGAGAGGAGAATTTAGGCAAAATTGGGTGATTTAGAATTGAGGATTAGGGTTCTTGAAAGAGACTAGATAGAAGAGGGATAATTCTGACGATACTTTGATAGATTTTTCATTGACGCCCTTAACAATAGAACTGAAGTACCCTAATCGACTAAACCTAATAAAATACTAAACTACCCTTAAACCTACTAATCGTACCCTCAACACTCGCACATGGATTTCTCAATGTCAATTTTTGTGGTGATTGTCAAACCCTTGTGGGACGTGTTCGGGAGAGGAATGTGGCTCATGGTTAGGGTGGTGTACTGCCGGAAGAAATTCAGATAACTATGTCAGCTTTTTCTACTTTTTTATGTACTTTTACTTTTTCAGGGTATAACAGGGTTGTCCATTTAGTGACTCAAAAGGTCCTTTTATCGATAGTTCGAGTATTTGTCGACTGACCCATTTAATAATGTGATGCTTTGCGACTATCTATTTGAACTTCATATCTATCAGAGAAAAAATTTGCTCTTGTGTAAGTTTGTGATCGGTAACATAAGAATTGAAATTTTAAAATTAAAAATGGAAAAATGATTTTCTTACAATGATGAATGATTTTCTTACCAGTCCTCGCCAGCTGTGAGAAACGGCAGACGGAGGTCACCCAAGGAAACTACAAAAGAGGAAGAAAAGGAGGATGCAGAACAGAACATCGTCACATCGAGGTTGCCCAGCTACGAGGGCACACAAAAGCTCACAAGCGTACACTAGCACTCTAGGAGCAATCCAAATAAAAAAAAAAAACACCAGGCTGATTAGCAGTACACAGCTAACTAGGAAAGACAATTGTACCCATAATCGTAGGTATCCGATACTTCTCAGTTCAATTAATGAGGGGAATTCCGTCTTGATCGGATACAAGGCGGATATTGGTAATATCTACAAATAAAGTGGTGGGGATGAGTTTGGGTATTCCCGTCCCATATGTATTGCTTATATTACATGATCGGTAGTCCGGTACCGATTGAAACTGATCGGCAATTAGAATCATTGGTGATTGGCAATTATAATCAAACGAATAAATTTTGGGGAAAAAGTACAAAGGGAATTGTGTGAAAGAATCAATTTGGAGGTGAGGTTTTAGAGATTTAGAATCTGATTATGGGTGGGTAGCAGGTTTGGCAGGTTCAAACCCACACTAATTCATATTTTGAAGCTCGGCTACTCCGACTCTCCATTCTAAACGAGGCTTGTAGTTTCAGAGCTTCCTATTCATTCCAAGCCCTTCAACTCTGTACAAAAGAAGCCTTCTTTCCAAGCTGCTTACTCCAAACAGCGAGCTTATGTTACTGCAGTAATTGAGATCTGCTGTTGAGAAAAAGCCAAACCCAGATGATACAGAAGTAAGAAGTTAGCTGCCAGTCAGAGTCCTCTGAGATTTAGCTGTGACCGTTTCATATCCTGGCTCAAGGTTCTCCTGCTAAATCTTATCTTTCCATTCCTAGCCATTCGAAAGTCGAAACAGCAAGCTAATGGGTACTGGAATCGACAGCTTCCGGCGACAGAGGACAAACCACAGAAAACACAGAAGTAACGAAGATGGAGCTGCCAATCTGAGTTTGAGCTATTTGGTGGACTGAAACTGAAACAGAAGAAAAAGAAGCAGCAAACTGTCAATGCTTCTATCTACCACATCGCTGAAACTAAAACTGGTAGTACTGTTTAATAATTTGTGCTGAAGCTGAATTGCCGCCGAGCTTGGTAACGCGAGCTTGTAAGCCAAGTGGAGGCACCAAAGTAATGGGACATTGGGCCGGCCTCAAAGGCTGGGCTTGGTGAGTCGACTTCCGGCCTGCCCGCTCCAAGCTTGGAGTTGGGCCAGGAAGGTTTGGCGAAGGCCTGAGCCGACCTGGTTCCTAGAGTCGGGTGATAATGCGCCAGGCTGGTTTCACAGAGCAGCGCGGCTCCCCGCTCTAGGCAGTGGAGGGATAACAGGCCGGTGATTTTCAAGCCCGCATAGCCTGCCGGGCCGTCCAAAATTGGACCATTACTTTTTTTGCCGGCCGACCTTCTGGGCCCAAAACTCAACAGGCCCATATAGTTTTTAGTTTGTCTCTCTGGCTGTTCTGCACATTCGAACTGTTCGCTCCTTTTTTTTCTTTCTTCTTCTGCTATCTGGGTTCGGAACTTCGGATCAAATACCCAGAGCTGAAACTTTCTCGCGCTTTCCGCCCTTCCAAACAACTTTCCTTCGCCGCGGTGACTTGCAGCCAGAGTTGAGGAGGTGAAGCCGCGGGAGAATGGTTATAGCTGTAGCGGTGATAATTCTGGGCATCTTGTTGGGAGCCTTGTTTCTGATTCCACGAAACTCTGGTAAAATCGTTTTGGGTTTCTTCCTCGTGCAATTCTTCATTAGATTTCCCAGTGGTTGATCGACGAAAGTTTTTGAGTCTTTCAGCTGTCGCAGAAAAGAACCGAACAAATGCCGCCGATAGAAAGAAGGTGGGTTCTGATTGTTACAAGCTATTCGCAGCATTGTTTTTTGCAATGCTACTTCGAGAATCTGATTTTTGCACGTTTGTCTAAGCTCGTAGCCGCCATTCATTGGCTAGTGAGAGACTAGTGAAGTTGGAATTTAGATGAATCCATTTATGAACAAAGTCGTGATGCTCAATGGTTTTTTCAAGGTGTGTCGGCTTGCCACTTCTTGGTTCTTAGTAATGCCATGATTGTGTTCAAATTTTACCAGCAGCCAAGGTTAATGTTGGCAACGCTTGGTTGCTATCTTTGTATAATTTTTGGTATAAATTCCAATTGTTTTCATACCCGGAGAGGATGCTAGATCGAAAATTTTAATGGATACAGTTTATCGGTTAATCGTTGATAGAATCTTTCATGCGATATTATATAAAAGTCATATATAATTCATAATCTATAAATGAATTTATCACTAACTATAAACAATTTCAGTCATATCCTATTGCATTGTATTTCACTCTTGTAGGCACGAATCTTGGGGACCCGGAGTAAGGTAACAAATAGAGTTTAGAAAGAGATTTAGATTGGCTGAGAGGAGAATTTAGGCAAAATTGGGTGATTTAGAATTGAGGATTAGGGTTCTTGAAAGAGACTAGATAGAAGAGGGATAATTCTGAAGATACTTTGATAGATTTTTCATTGACGCCCTTAACAATAGAACTGAAGTGCATTATATAGACTCTGATTCGAAACCATAATCAACTAAACCTAATAAAATACTAAACTACCCTTAAACCTACTAATCGTGCCCTCAACACTCGCACATGGATTTCTCAATGTCAATTTTTGTGGTGATTGTCAGACCCTTGTGGGACGTGTTCGGGAGAGGAATGTGGCTCATGGTTAGGGTGGTGCACTGCTGGAAGAAATTCAAATAACTATGTCAGCTTTTTCTACTTTTTTTAATGTACTTCTACTCTTTGAGAGTATAACAGGGTTGTCCATTTAGTGACTCAAAAGGTTCTTTTATCGATAGTTCGAATATGTGTCGACTGACCCATTTGATAATGTGATGCTTTGCGACTATCTATTTGAACTTCATATCTATCAGAGAAAAAATTTGCTCTTGTGTAAGTTTGTGATGGGTAACATAAGGATTGAAATTTTAAATTGGAAAAATGATTTTCTTACAATGATGAATGATACATTACTTAAAACCAAAAGGGACCAATCCTCGCCAGCTGTGAGAAACGGCAGACGGAGGTCACCCAAGGAAACTACAAAAGAGGAAGAAAAGGATGCAGAACAGAACACCGAGGTTGCCCAGCTACGAGGGCACACAAAAGCTCACAAGCGTACACTAGCACTCTAGGAGCAATCCAAATAAAAAAAAAAAAACACCAGGCTGATTAGCAGTACACAGCTAACTAGGAAAGACAATTTAGCAAGTGGAATGGTTCGACCAGTGGTACAATTGGTTTGTGCTGGTTCATTTCGCGGTTAAAAAAATATGTAGAAATGTGAAAAACCATTAATATCAAATGAATTTAACCATATGTAAACCACATGTGAAGACAGTTTACTTACAATTCATACTGATATTTAAATAAAATGTGTCATTCCAAATAAAACTACAATTACTCATATTTAAAATATAACATTTAACGTCAATAACTAAATGGTTATACTTGAGTCCAACAAATAACTTTAAAACTCATAAAAAACTATAATTAATTTTTTTATAAACTTATAGCATGTTACTTAGAAATTCATAAATCGATCATGTCATTCATACCGATTTTGTTCATGCAGGTTTCATGAACCGGTACCGGTTGAACCTGGTTGGCAATTAGCTAGAATCATTGGTGGTTGGCAATTAGAATCAAACCAACAAATTTTGGAAAAAAGTACAAAGGGAATTGTGTGAAAGAATCAATTTGGAGGTGCGGTTTTAGAGATTTAGAGTCGGATTATCAATTATGGGTTTGTTTGGCAGGTTCAACTCACACTAATTCATATTTTGAAGCTCGGCTACTCCGACTCCATTCTAAACGAGGCTTGTAGTTTCAGAGCTTATGTTACTGCAATTGAGATCTGCTGTTGACAAAGCCAAACCCAGATGATACAGAAGTAAGAAGTTAGCTGCCAGTCAGAGTCCTCTGAGATTTAGCTGTGACCGTTTCATATCCTGGCTCAAGGTTCTGCTGCTAAATCTTATCTTTCCATTCCTAGCCATTCGAAAGTCGAAACAGCAAGCTAATGGGTACTGGAATCGACAGCTTCCAGCGACAGAGGACAAACCACGAAATCACAGAAGTAACGAAGATGGAGCTGCTAATATGGTTATACAGAAGAAAAGAAGCAGCAAACTGTCAATGCTTCTATCTACCACATCGCTGAAACTGAAACTGGTAGTACTGTTTAATAATTTGTGCCGAAGCTAATTTGCCGCCGAGCTTGGTAACGCGTGCTTGTAATCCAAGTGGAGGCACTAAGGTGATGGAACATTGGGCCGGCCTCAAAGGCTGGGCTTGGTGAATCGACTTCCGGCCTGCCCGCTCCAAGCTTGGAGTTGGGCCAGGAAGGTTTGGCGAAGGCCTGAGCCGACCTGGTTCCTAGAGTCGGGAGATAATGCGCCAGGCTGGTTTCACAGAGCAGCGCGGCTCCCCGCTCTAGGCAGTGGAGGGATAACAGGCCGGTGATTCTCAAGCCCGCATAGCCTGCCTCCTTCTTTTCTTTCTTCTTCTGCTATCTGGGTTCGGAACTTCGGATCAAATACCCAGAGCTGAAACTTTCTCGCGCTTTCCGCCCTTCCAAACAACTTTCCTTCACCGCGCTGACTTGCAGCCAGAGGAGAGGAGGTGAATCCGCGGGAGAATGGTTATAGCTGTAGCGGTGCTAATTCTGGGCGTCTTGTTGGGAGCCTTGTTTCTGATTCCACGAAACTCTGGTAAAATCGTTTTGGGTTTCTTCCTCGTGCAATTCTTCATTAGATTTCCCAGTGGTTGATCGACGAAAGTTTTTGAGTCTTTCAGCTGTCGCAGAAAAGAACCGAACAAATGCCGCCGATAGAAAGAAGGTGGGTTCTGATTGTTACAAGCTATTCGCAGCATTGTTTTTTGCAATGCTACTTCGAGAATCTGATTTTTGCACGTTTGTCTAAGCTCGTAGCCGCCATTCATTGGCTAGTGAGAGACTAGTGAAGTTGGAATTTAGATGAATCCATTTATGAACAAAGTCGTGATGCTCAATGGTTTTTTCAAGGTGTGTCGGCTTGCCACTTCTTGGTTCTTAGTAATGCCATGATTGTGTTCAAATTTTACCAGCAGCCAAGGTTAATGTTGGCAACGCTTGGTTGCTTGTCTGGAGTGAATATGGGTTGAGGAGGGATTTGGAAAACGTGATAGCATTTGTTGCAGACAGATGACAGATGCTACTATGAACCCTTTGCTTTCTTGGATCTTGATTACAACCGTCTACTTTAAATCGTAGTTTGTTCGTGTGCTGGGTTTCAGACGCTGTGTTATGCTAGTCATGCTTATAGTTCGATCGAAGTCATTGGTGTTCACTTAGCCACTGAATAAGTTTCATGCTTCTGGTTTTCTTATTCTCAGGTATACGGAGTGTACAGCAAAGCTGAGATCGCCTTGCATGACAAGAGAACTGATTGTTGGATCATTGTAAAGAACAGGGTATGGTATTTCTCCCAGTTTTAATCCTCCATACGAATCATTTAAAGCCGTTAATACAAAGCTTTCTGCAAGATTTATTTTCCTTATCCCCTTTTTTGTGTTCTCCCTGCAGATTTTTGACGTTACCTCGTATGTAGAAGAACATCCCGGTGGTGATGCTATTCTGACGAATGCTGGAAGCGATTCAACCGAAGGGTTTTATGGGTATGCTTGATCTTCATCCTCAACACTAGTTTAGCAGAGATTGTCCCTATTCGATTTTTAGCTCAAAGAATCAAGTGAGAATTTGATAACTACACTGTATGCCATTGCAAATGCTTAAACCAAACTAGTTAAGAATAGGCAGCAGAGATTCATTCTTAGGTTCTCAGTTCTTTCTCTGAGCTTCAGCTTCTGTGTACAGACTACAGAGTGTCCGTGTTTTTGAAACAGATTGTTAACCATTTAGGAGTAGCTTAGCAGAAACTGAGTATGTGGAATCTGGGTAAAATTAGAATAATCTTGATCTATGACATTGTAGTTTTCCCTATCCTTGGTGATATATCGAATTAGTTGGTCCAACTACATTCGTGTTCTCTGATTCTCTTTCTCGTTCTCGTTATAGTAAACTGCACGTGATCAAAGAGGGGAAACTGAGGATGTTACATATGTTTCTTCAACTTGGAATGTTTGATTCCATTCTGTTTCTTGACATTGCAGGCCGCAGCATCCTGGTGGAGCTTTTCAATTGATTGAGGACTACTGCATTGGAGAGCTGGAGAAGTAGTTCTTAGCCTGGGGTTTGGGTTCATCTAACACCACATTGCACATTCTATTTGTATCAACTTGATTCTTCTCCTGGCCATGCTGCTGAACTGCACTGCAGCGTTTTCGCACTGAGAAGATAATGATCCAATTACTTGATTCCTCGAGTCGCAGCATGTTATGTCGTACGCATGAGTGAGGAGATAAAGATTCAGTTGTAGACTGGAACTCAGTCTTTCTTCTTGGTTCTCTATTATCACCTTACTCACGCTGCGTTAGGATCTTTCGGCAATACAGCAGCTATAGGATAATAATTTTGGGAGAAACTTGCTGCTGCCACGCCATCTTATAAGGGAATCTGCCTCGATGAGTATTCCTCCTCTGCCAAGCAATTACACGAGTGAACTGAGAAGCCCGCCATTGTTTGGAATCTACAATTTGAACCCCTGCTCAATGAACCCACAAAAGAGTTTGCTAGCAAATTGTTGGTCTCACTTCTGAACTTTCAACTGCATAACAACAATCTACATAAATTACAAAACAAATGATATGGAAAAATTACAACCAATCCATCACAAAATGAGTAGATTGGATTGATGAATCAAATTTCAGATTGAACTGAGACTAACAGCTTTTCTCCTCCTAGAAAGAGACCAAAACCAATGAACAATAAATAGACTAAGCTTGATCCTAGCCTGCAGCCTGGAAGTAAAACACATAGGACAACATGTAGAACCAACCCACCAAGAATTGCTTCCTTTTTTATAACTTTTGAACTGAATTTTCAATCCCCCTAAGAATCAAATTAATCAACCAATCAAACAAACACTCCTATCTCTTTCTGAAATGATGATGATCTTCAGATATCGTATTTCTTGGGACGTCTCCATTGCGCCAAACTTCTACACAGAGAGCCAAGGAATGAGGCTTTCTGAGGAGCACCTTTCTTCCCTAAATGCTTCCCTCCCAAGTCTGTGTAAAGTGGACCCATATCCTTGCTCCTATCAATCTGCATATCGCAACAATCATAAGAAAGAGAAACATAGGATGAAACATGAACTATCTTCAAGTGAAGACTTGAAGTTCATTATGCATACCTTGTATATCTTCCCATCTTTTAAGTGGTACCGAATGCCAGACCAATTGATCGATTGGGAGAAATGGGAACGCATGGCAGATATTGGATATAAGAAGTTATCCACCACCATAGCTACGAAGACCTGCTCCATTGTATACCCATGTGTTGCTCAAATTAGCAAGATTGTACTTTTCAAACTCTTTAACCACTTGCTTATAAGCACCCAAATGAATGAATTGCACCATAACAGTGAGAACTTACCAGAACCCAATTGTAAGAACCAAGAGAGAGTCGAGGTGCCTCTGGGGATAACATGTTGCACAAACGAACTTCTACTCTTGTCAAGTTCCACATCGAGAAGAGTTCTACAAATGTGCACGCTGCCAAACAGGCAACCAGTAACAACCCTGGCAGAAAAAAAGAATATAGCACGTTCATGAGAATGCAGCACTCCTATTTTATTTGGTTCAAGTGTACTTATTTCTCAATTGCTTGCCAACTATTTCGCATGTTGTTAAAAGAGGGGTATTTGCCAAAAAATAAAAAGCATTTTTTTAGTTCAATGTATTTGTACTGGACATAGTGATAGCAGCAACTAAGCGACCTAAGCATATGAGAGAACATTAACAAAAGCTTTGAGTACCTTTTGAAACAAAAACTGTTTCCTCCCGAGCATACCCTTGGGCATAAATACGAAGTGCGGCTGCAATATGAACCACAGCCATGAAGTATGGCGCTGCAAATCCCCATGACAAATAGCAGTGGACAGAAAACAATGCTCGGTTCATTATCCAGTTAACCCTTGATATGTACGACTCCAGCACAAATGTTTGCTTCCTCAAGTAATTCCAGTACCTAACAGAATAAAAGCAGTTAAGTCGAGCCAAATGGAAAGGAGGGTGTAGCACATTCAAGTCTGGGAAAGGAATACATGACAAACCTCGAAAAGCTAAGATCACTAGCAAGTGGGTGAGGGAAGACGGCAACTGGAGGTGATGTAATTAGTAGCTTATGAGCCCCTAGGGAGGAAATGAAGGACATCAGGGATCTAACAAGTCGTTGCAAAATTGCTACTTCTTACGACTTTCTGAAAATATCGTTGATGAGAGAGAGTTACCAGCCAATGCTGCAAGAGTCATATCATCTGAGTAGCCACCATCTCGAAGTCCAGAGAGCACACCATGACGATCGCATCTAAAATCATCAGCATGCATCTGAAAAATAACTAGGATTACTACAGATAAAAATTTCAAGACAGATAATGGACTAAATGTTAATAAGATAGTGGGGAGCTAGATACCATCATGCACCCTCCCCACAAGAAGAATGTCTTTCCACCAGTTGCAAATCCCATTGAACATGGCTGCCAAAAAGAAATATTAATAATGCTCATCATTAACGAATTCATAGTGCGTTATACATTCACGATTCATTAGGCGTGTAGGAAAAGAGAGGCAACGAAAGAGATGAGGTGTCTTTTTACCATATGATACTCATAGATGCAGTAACTTCCCAGACTACCAGAAGGTAGATCTAGAGGATATCCCGTTTGAATAAATATCTGCACGAACTTTCAGTAAATTAGATGACGAACATGTGGCATAAACAGACCACAACAAACTCCAAGAATACCTCAGGGTTCTTCAACATCTCTGCAGTGAGAGCTCCAATGGACCCAGGGTGCAGCCTGACATCATCATCCAAAAATAGTACATATTTGGTCTCTGGATGCATGTTCTCAACCCCAACCTTAACAAGTGCAGCAGCAAAACATGATTAATTCCAGTGGAAGTACGCTTCAAGAAAGGGTTAGGAAATGATGGTGAATGGTGAATGAAACTGCCAGCTGTTACCCTAAGCTTGCATATGTCCATGTGCGCTGATCTTCTAAGTACAAACTACCTAACTACAAGAGAACCAAAAGACAACTACAGAGTTGCTCAGTTGCAAGTCATATATTATATACCAATTGGTTATGAATTTTCTGACTGCATGTAGTTGACAAGCCAGCTACAATAACTTGAGCTTCGACATGATCCTGCACAAATCATTGGAGCACATGGTCATAAAACAAGATACCAAAACACTCAAAATAGGCCTAGATTTACATGAAACTATTTAAAGGATGAAAATCTGTCACATGATTAGAGCAGTTCTAACTTCTAACTACAAGTGTTGTGACATAAAGTCTTCTCTGTATAGATGATGATGTTTAGGTTTGTTATTCCATTCGCTAGGTGGATTGACAGTCTAACAAAACGTGCTGCTACTTGACATGCCACTAATGTGTTACCCCATTAACAAAATGGAACTTCAAAAACAAGCTGCTTAGCAGACGATAAGTTTAAGTAAGTATGAGCAAGCATACCTTAAAATCAGATAATAAGCGAGACACAGCACGGTAAGCAGGGTCTTCTGTGCTTTCTACAATGAAGAGAAATTCTAGAGGACCTCCATAGAGTGATGTTATCTGCATTAAGAGCCATAAACAACAATAAAGAGTAGTTGATAGAATATAAGAACAGACAAAACATAGGAAGAGCAGCAGCTGACAGAATTGGATTCGGGGGGAAAAATGATTACAGATAATATAAGCTGTAAACGCAACAAAGTTGGCCGCTAGTACAGAAAAGTAAAAATAGAAGCACAGTGATAGACTTTCAAGTCTAGAGTAAAAAACAAGACCAGTTAGATCTACTAATGTGTCCCAATAGCACACGATTATCCAAGATCTTTAGTTCTCAATGTCCAAAAAATTGGTTAACATGATGTCTGTAAAAACAAGCAGGGAGTAATCACAGAGCAACCAGACGACAGTGAAAAGCTTATGAACCAGATGCATAACACAACAAGAAAAGCGTGTAGTGTTGAAAACCAACTAACCTGACTTCTCCAATTATGAAGATTGTGTTCTCCAAAGCCTTTCAAAGGCATAACGACACTCACTCTCGGCAGGCTGGCCTGATAAGAGTGCTCCAATTCGTTAATGTCATGGCAAAGGAATGAAAAGCTATTGCCAGCTTTAGCACTATCCTTCATTTGTTTAATCTCCCTATTCCTGCAGTGAGAAGGTACCATGAGCAATGAGGCCACTGCATGCAGCCAATTAATTGATGGAGATAAAAAGGTCCAATATACATCTACAGTCATCATGTCCATTAAACATTGATACCTGACATAGGCGGCGAGGACCCATCCAAGAGAAAGAATTAAGCAGATCAGACATCCCTGCATAATGAGTGAAAGTTTCAGAGTCACGACATGATCATCCATCTCTGGAAAGATAAAGCAGTAATACCAAGGACCTAAAAAGTGAGAGAGAGAGAGAGAGAGAGAGAGAGAGAGAGAGAGAGAGAGAGAGAGAGAGAGAGAGAGAGAGAGAGAGAGAGAGAGAGAGAGAGAGAGAGAGAACAGTAAGAAGACAAAAAATGACCAGAAAGGAAGTTGCTTGTGACATATACATTCAATTATTCGTAGCAAGAACATGAACTATAGTCATAGTTATTGTGACAGGCAAGAGCGAATTCCCTTCAGAACACATCAAGTTTCAAAACATGTGGAATAAAATGGAGCATCTACATCTCCAACATTATGATCTCTTCAGTACTGAGTATAATCTATTGCAAGATAAACAGGACTAGCATGAAGCAACAACAACAGCAGCAGCAACAACAGATGGAGAAAGAAATATGGACTGTGAATACTCCTGAAACCAATATTGTAAGCAGTAAGACAATAAACACAACTAACATGAAGCAATCACATACTTAACAGAATTTCTAACATAAAGCCACCAATTAAGGCCTCCTAGACAACCAATGTAGGAACTTGAAATGCTTAGAGTGCAACAATTCTGACCATATTCAACCAAATTCCAGATAATCTCACAAACCAGATTTATTCAGTCAGCCTAGCAGTTCAGAATTTCAGGACACTATCCCTAAAATCCGAGATTTATAACACCTGTGTAATCAAGCTGAAAATTTAGGCATGTAAACGAGGAGGTTGCAGTAAAAACCAAAAGGACATGTAGACAAATGAATTGAGGGAAGTGGACAAGCTTGCTCGGGCGATCCAATACAGATTTTGGGGAAACAAACAATTCGGCAGGGGCAAATCCTAAATAAGAGTTATCTCACACGTACCCCTCACACCTCAAAATTCTATCACAAACTGCTGGTCACTACCATCCATCCATTTGGGAACACCTAAATGGCCAGCAATAAGTCGAGAGCTTTGGCATACATGGCTAACTGCATTTGGTTGGATTATCTCATGTCAAGTTTCTCCAGGAAAGCATGATGGAAAACGCCAGGGAAAGTTGAACAAATTCCAGCAAGAAGCCGAACTCGCCTAGGATTCACCGAAATTCAGCTCATACAAATACAAAACGGGGAAAAGTTGCCACCTTTTCACCACCAAATTGCCGATGTCAACCAATAACCAGAACCCAGAGAAGGAAATTGAAAACGGAAGACAGAAAACCAAAAAAAGAGATTGAAAAAGATTTCCAAACTTATAACCTTGGCACAGTCGCATCAGAATTTCCTTTGGGCAGAAAGGGGGAGGTAAAACAAAAACAGAGACATAGTTGGATCTGTATTAGAAAGGGAAAAAGAAAGGAGGACGTCGAAACCTGGATCTGAATGAAGATTGCAATTGGAGAAGAGAAGGCCTTGGAGAGAGAGAAGAGGAACGAATCCACAACCTCCATTGTCGACATTCTGATTCTCCCTTCTCTCCCCCGTTCTTGTTAATTATCCCCCCTTCCTTCGTTTCGCTCCGCTTCACAAGAGCTCTGTGTCCAATCTAATTGTGCAAACCCCCAAAATCATCCCTCTGCAGCCTTCCCCACTTCCCTCAAGAGAACCTCAAATACTGGGCAATCTCTCTACCTCCTGCTATCTTCCGGGTTTCTTCTTCTCCTTGTTCGGTTGCTCTCCGTTACCTCAATCTCCCCAGCAACCGCATTCCAGCTCAGATCGCCATCGAACGGAGACGACCCATGAGAGGGAGGGAGAGAGAGACTGGTTATTTTTTTCGTTTTCGGGGGAAAAAAAAGGAAAAGAAAGAACCAGGGAGCGAGAGGAGAGGGGAAGACAGAGGTACAGAGAGAGAGAGAAAGAACGGGAATTTAAAAGAAGATAGACTGAAAGGGAAAAGGGCTCTCGAGTGTGCGTGGTGAGACCCGCGTAGATTTTATAATGGATGGATTTTCAAAAAAAAAAAAAACAGGGGTCCCGTCGCCAGTCGGGTCAGATCCTCCGCTTATCCCCACCAGCCTCTCTGGCCGCCGCCGTCGCCGTCGCCGCCGGTTATACAATGATTGAATCGCCCAATCGTGGGGTAATTTGGTCGGTAGCGAGGTGAATCCGTGATTGGTTGGGATTGTTCTTTGGTAGTATAAGTTGGAGTTGGAGTGAGAGAGTGAAGCTGATATAATTTCAGAGAGTGACGAATTTCAGAGGTAGGGGAAGATGCGGTTTTTTCCGATTCGGATCTTTTGCTGCTCATTATTGTTCTTTCCAACTCAATAATACCTGCCAAGCAATGAATGGGACTGCATTTCTTGTTCCAATTGCCTTTCTTTTTTCCTCGTGGGTGTAATGAGTAACGAGAATTTTCCCCCCCAAAATACAATATTTGGTATAAAAAATTTCCACAATGCACTTATTACACTAATTTTTTTTCTCTACAAAATACACATGTTTGGTGTGGTTCACTGCAATATTCAACAATTTAGAAAGCGGGTCGGGTGAGACGACAGCAATCTAGGTGGATCGGTTCAGTTTGGAGCGATCTGCAGGTGGTTCGCTCCAGTAAGTTACGATCTGCTAACTTTTTTTATTTTGCACATAACTTTTCAAAAACTACATCTTTAGTAGAGAATATTTTTCAAATGTATGTTGAAAGTTAAAAAGATATTCTTTTGTCAATAAATGGCTAGCTCTGTTGAAGTTTTGAGAAGCAAAATGACACGAAACTAACGCAAAAGACAAGATAATCTGAGTGTATTTCCTCTAGATATAGCACCTGCCCATGACTGAGTAGAGCTCTTCTACATAACATCTCGGATGACTAGTTGAGAATCTCCACGAAAAAACAACCAACAAGATAAGACACCACCTCGTAGTATCATGAAAGGCAGGTAATTTGCAACACCTCAAAGTACAATCATGAAATTTATCCAAAACAAATGAGACTGCTCCATCACCTGAAAAACTAACCGAGTCCAATTGCAATCTGTTGATTTATCTTCAATGCCCTCATCAAATCAGACGAAATACCTCTCTAAGGGTGGACAACAATCTGGTCTTCATGGCCCTCATCAGATTCGGTTTCGATCCTAAAAATCATCTTTTAGTATAAATAAAAGTGGTATGAAATTGAATTTAGACTCAACCAAGTCGAACAAAATGAACAAAACATGCTTTTAGTTAGGTTTTGATCTTCAATTTTCCTTTAATTTTGAGCTGGTTCTTGACGAATAGACCGATGCCCACCTTTAATTCTCACTCGCTATCTATCGATTGCTTGGTAAGAGTTGGAATGCCCAAAGAACAATATATACATCCTAAAATCATGTTACATTATCAAAGATAACAGAGTAAGTTGTAATGGTTTCTCTGTGAAAAATTAAAACATGGAATCAATAACTAGGTATCATCCCCCTTGGATTAAGAACACGGGGTTGATCGTCGAGCAGCTCCAAAGTCTCGAGTCCATCCACCCTCCGAACGGGAAACTCCCTCGCCGGCCGCCGCTCCCGCGGCGCCACGAGACCCGAGATGCCGAGCCCACCGACCCCGACCGCCACCGGCGGCCAGTGGGACATCCGCTTCCCGGCGAACCCGTGCACCACCACGCGCCCGTCGTCGTACAAGTTCCAATCCCTCACCCGACCGCCAAACTCGAGCCGCGGATAATATTCTCCTCCCCCTGGTAGCTCCGCCACCAGAATCGCCCTCTCCTCTCCGCCGCCGACGCCGCGGAGTACGGATCCCGCGGACAGTCGACCCGACCCGAAGGATCGCCGGTCCACCCTGGATGTCACGATCTGGACCTCCGGCTTCTCGAACCATCGCCGGTCGTACGTGGAGTCGTCCGACGGGACGAAGACGGTGTAGAAGCCGCCGGCCGGCGAGGAGGCGAGGTGGCGGGAGAGTTTGGCTTCGAGGTCGGAGCAGGAGGAGGAGTAGTTGCCGTGAGAGCGGAGAGCGGCGGCGATTTCGTGGGGTTTTATTTGCGGTGGTGGTGGTGAGTGGTGCTGATTGGACATGATCTGAAACAGAGGAAGGCAGTAACAGAGCATAGGGAAGAGAACGGCGACCAAGGTGGTGAATTTGGGCTTGGCGCCAGAGGAGGAGTGGTCCGCCATTGATGATCAATGATCTGAATATTAATTAGGAATTGCCGATCCAAGGAGCTAGCAAGGCATGCTGATTAATTAAATAGTGTTGTACGTTCTGGTCCAAATCCTGGTCTGGTTCAGGAGACCTTTTCCGAGGCAGATCAGGAGTGGAGCACGCTTACATCAATTGGCTCAAACACGCTAACCTCTGCCTGTCATTGTTCCATCTATATAAGCTGTCTAAAACAGACAAAAGACAAACAAAGAGTAACAGAAGCAGATACACAAAACAGATAGGAAGCAATTGCAAACTCTCACTTGGGAAAAGATTTCAATGGCATCATATATAAGATAGTGAAAATGTGATAAACGAAGCTAAGATCCAGCTAAACAGAAATCAGGGTCTGTGAGTTATAAGCTCCCTTATTGAAACGATATCAGGAATCTCCTATGGATGATTGCTCGTTTGGCTGGTTACCGATAAAGTGGTGAAGAAGAACCCCAGCGGCAACACTAACATTCAAGCTCTCTACCGCCATAAATGACTGGAACTCTTTCTTCGAGTGCTCCACATTCATCTCCTCGTCGCCTTCCACACCATCACTTTCTTCCACAGCTGCTGCATCCACGGGAATGTTTCCAGGGATACGAACCAGCTGAGTACAGGATCTCTCGACCAATGGCCTCAATCCAGTGCCCTCGCTTCCTAGCACAAGGATTGTCGGTTCACCCGGTGCAATTTCGTTCAAGGGAACGGCTCTTGAGGAGACTGAACCCCCAACGACACGCCATCCGTTCTCAGCTGATAAGACCAAGAACTGCATCATGTTCTTGCAGTACCTGAGCTCCATCAGCTCAAGAGATCCTGCGCTGGCTTTGCTCACCACACCGCTCAGTGGTGCTGAATTTTTAGCACATAGGATTACCCCTGAGACGCCGAAGAAGTACGCAGACCTAATGATGGCACCCAAATTCTGAGGATCAGTAACTTCATCTAGGGCAACCCAAAGTGAGCCTCCTCTCTCTTGTTCACCTGGGGGAACCGGCTCCAACTCCTTGATTTGCACCATCTCTAATGGAGAAGCATCTAGTATAAGACCCTGATGTGGCCTGTTATCAGCAATCATGTTCAAATCATGCTTAGAAACCTCGGTTATGCTTAGTCCGAGTTTCTCAGCCATCTTCAGCACTTTCTCGAACCCTTTCTTGTCCTTCTTCTTCCTATTATTACTACTCATGTCCAGCCCTTGTTGAACGTAGAGGGCATAAAATTCCCTTCTTCCTGCAGATAGTGCAGCCAAAACAGGACCAACACCATAAACCCCTTCACCAACCACTTTAGGCAAGGTCGATTCAGTATTGGCCTCTTTCCATGTCTTTCTCCCCCAGTTCTCTTGATTCTTCCACCTTTGGAACTCAGGTCTCTCTATCCTGCTCTTTATGCTATTCCATCTAGGATCATCATTAACAACCTCAGTTTCCTCCTCTACTTCTTCCTCAACATGTTCATCCTCATGAGCATAATCCTTAACATGTTCCCTTTTAGGTGGTAAACTACTCGGCTTGTTTCTGCTTACCGACCCATAAGCCCCAAATGAAGACCGTGCTGGCCTTCTACCTGCCCTGTCGTTCTCCACCCTCCTACCACGCTCCTGGCGGTATGGGTAGTTAGGAGTTTTCTTCTCCACCCTCTCTTTTCCAACTCTTCTGGACGATTCATCCGGGGTAGAATCACTAACTTTCTCTAAACTCTGCAGCGATTTCTCCCAAGGAGAAACGCTACGCTTCTCATTCACAGCCTTCACCGGTCCCCCTCCCTCCTTCACTCTGTTAGACCTCAACCAAGGAAGCGAATTTCCATCTTTCACAACAGCACTCCTTCTACCATTGCTCGGTTGTGGGCGTTGTGAAGTAGAGAAACTCCTAATTCTAATCCTAAACCCACCTGAAACCCCTCTTCCCCAACACCTGCTACTACCCACTTCCACCGAATCACCAAAATAGCTGCCTAAAACCGGGTGAAAGTTGATTGCTTTGGCGGACTGAGAATCAGAACAATATGAAACTTTGGTAGTGAAGTGGGCGGAAGCAGGGTTTAGCGAGGGTTTAGTCGAGGGGAACTGGCTGAAGCAACTGGGTTTTGAGGAATACCGAATTGCAAAAGGAAACGCATGGATTCTTGCTAGATTGCTGCACATTTTGGTGGCCCTCAGACTATGTTTCAGAACAGTGCGCCGCCGGCGGAAATTCACAGATGCGGGGAAAAGGGAGTGATTACCTAGCAGATAGAGTTGGCCCGGTCAATCAACAGAAACCCATTTACAGCTCCTCCTTCTCACACCTCAAGCGACGGCGGGAACTAACGTGACCGGCCCAGCTAACTTCCGGCGCAAAGTTCAGTTTCTCAGCTGTTAAGAGAGAAAGGATGAGATTCTGAAGAGCTATCGGTCTTGTACGAAAGCATAGCAGCAGAGGGAAGAGGTGGTTGAAGTTCCGAAGGAATGAAACGATGTCGCATTGGATCGACCAGGACCCATGTTGTTGAAGTTCTCTATTTTCTTAACCGACATTTTATTGGGCCTGGATTGATCTCTATGGGCTGAGCCCAACTTTTCTTAGAGCTCGGGCTAACGGGTTCCGGATCCGGTCCGGAAGTCTCGAACTTGAAAAGAAAGAAAAAGGCCGATATTTGAAAGGGCCACATCGTCAACTCACGTAGCTTCGACCCTTCTCCAAGACGGAGAGGCAACGGAAAAATCCCTAATATCGCTTCTTCCTCGTTCAGCTATTTTCGATTTCGTTCCTCCGTCAGCCACCACCGCCTAGAACTTCTCTCCTCCTCGAGAAGTCAGTCTCCCTTTTCATCAAATCAGCCGACATGGGTACGCCGGAGACATCCAGGGAGCCCTGCCCGGACCGCATCCTCGACGACATCGGCGGCGCTTTCGGGATGGGCGCAGTCGGCGGCTCCGCCTTCCACTTCATCAAAGGGGTTTACAACTCCCCCGTCGGGACCCGCCTCACGGGCGGAACCCAGGCCGTCCGGATGAACGCGCCCCGCGTCGGTGGCAGCTTCGCCGTCTGGGGTGGCCTCTTCTCGGCCTTCGATTGCACGATGGTTTACGTCCGGCAGAAGGAGGATCCGTGGAACTCGATATTCGCCGGCGCCGCCACCGGTGGGTTTCTCGCTATGCGGCAGGGGCTCGGCGCCTCCGCTCGCTCGGCCGCCTTCGGAGGGGTTCTGTTGGCTCTCATCGAAGGTGCTGGGATCATGCTGAATAAGGTTATGAGTGCGCCGCAGAACATGCCGGTGATGATCGAGGAACCCGCCCCGGCTGGTGGGCCGGGTCTGCCTTCCGGGTTTCCGGGTATGCCACAGTCGATGCCGCAGGAGTTGGCTTCACAGGGGCAACAGGAATCGGGTTCATGGCTTGGTGGGTGGTTTGGTGGAGGGAAAAAGAACGATACTGCATCGAGTAGCGGAGGCAAAGCGGAGGTGCTGGAGAGCTTTGACGCACCGCCGGTGCCAAGTTTTGAGTACAAGTGAAGAGATTTGAGCTTATGAACTCTCTTAATTTATTGTCAGAAGGAATGGTTGGGAGTTTTGAAGCTCTATACTTTTGGTGAACGAGTAATGGTTTATCTGTTTTGTGTTCTCAGTTGATCTTTTAGCTTGGTCTGTAGTATTAGTGTATAATAATTTTTTACATTCGAAATGCTATTGGCTCTGCCCTGACCTCAGATTAATGGGTTTCCTGTGTGTCTCCTCCTTAAGTTCTTGTTTGAGTTAGGGAAGTGTACATGTTCCAAGTGATAGTTTGGTGTCAGCATTCTGAAGCTGGAAAGTTATATGCTTTTGGTCTTGTGTTGTTCTGATATGATATTAAGTTTCTAATTCTATATTCACAGAGGCATGCTTGCAGCGAGAACTTCTGAAAGGTGGTGGCTTTCATGTTTGTTTGGAGCAATTCGATTGCCTTAGCTAGAAACCTGACGCTGTTGTTTAATGATCTCCATTTTCTTCTAATCTAGTACACATTTTGATGGTGTATTATGATCTACAGGTCTCTGTCTACATTGTATTTGCATTGTCCAGAAAGACTGGAGCTTTCTTCTGTGTATTGATTGCATAGTCGGATCTTCTTAAACAGAATCTGAAAGTTGCAGATAGCTATCTGGTGTGAAGTTAGATTGGATGTGTTATTCTCCCTCCATGAAAGATTAGAGATTTCTTGCAAATGGATAGTATATTATTGTATGTAAATTTGCCTTAGAATTGTCGTTTCCCTATGTAGTATGAGTGAGATTATTATCCTTGATTGTTTACCACTTGCTTTGTGGGTTTTAGGAAGATGTGTACATAGATATTGATTTACTGGACCAAATCTCAGTTTGGAGCATGTTATGCTCACAGCAGTAGTTGTAGCTAGCAGCCCGAGCATCGGCCACTTTTTACATGTCAGGGAGTTGTTGCTTTCCATCAAACAAGTAGATTTTTCGGGTTGGCAGCAATCTCTCTGCTTGTGGACATGATTGTTGCATGTCGTCTTTTGAGGTAGTGCAGCCCGTTTAACATCTTGATGGTTGGTATTGAGTGTGAATTGAGTTCATCTTTCTCGTATGCTTGCTGAGGTGATATTTCATGGTTATGTTTGTTGCTGTGATGTGAAGTTACTCACTGTTTCGCATATGCATGACCATTCACTAAAGATAATACTTAGGTTAGAGATGTTGGAAGTTGTAGTGGGAGAAGTATCTGATTTGTGTATGTATGTAGTCGTCGGTTGTGTCCATTCATCAAATGGGATTGATGCCATACTACTCCGGTAGACATTGTGGACATAGATTCATTCGGTGTTCAAAATTATATTGTTCTATATCTTGATCTGATATGCCTGTTGGTTACATCTTTACACTGGGGGTTAAGAGTTTAGACTCCCTAGTTGTTATTTGTGGCATTGATTGGTACCACTTTTGTTGTGTGCTTGGTACGAAACTAGTGTATCGTACTATGTAAACTCGAGTCATAGCTTATCTGCTTATGTCTATCTGTCTCACGTGGCACATCTTCGATGCACGCGGTGCAAAGTGTTCTCACCTTGATGGAACCCTTCTCGTGCCCTAGCTGACTTTATGGCCTCGAACATATTTGCCATGAACCTCTTGCGCTTTAGTCCTTTGAAGCTCGTATGCCCGATTAATGTGTCCGAGTTGCATAGCCGACGGAACTAGCGTATCGAGTACAGAAGAATGTTCCGACTTAAGCATGAGAGGGTTCCTTGTTGCAACGAACTTGTTTTGAAAGGGTTTTAGGAACCAATTTACGCTCTACAACTCTCTCACTAAGACCACAACCACAAAAAAAACCTTAATCTGAGGTTCATATTGGAGAAGAAGAAGCCTTTAGCTCAAGGAATGATCCCACTTCGAGAACTCAGAACCAAATGAATAATGAACCCTAACATAATCGGGAATTGCGTTACACAAAGCGACAGAGCTTCAGCTGGCAATCCCTTTCGTTCATTTTGCCCTCTGCTTCTCCCTGTAGCTGGATAAAATCAATTCTCACTTTCTCAGAGCCACAATCAAGAGCTCGCCGCCACCGTATGCCACTGTCTACACTCTCACTTCGCTCGCTCTCTCGCATCCCTCTCCGCTCTCCCTCCTCCACCGCCTCCCTCCGCCGCTCCATGGCTACCGCAGCCGACGCCGCCGTTGCCGTCTCCCCTTCCAACACCCGCGTCGGCTGGATCGGCACCGGAGTCATGGGCCGTTCCATGTGCTCCCACCTCATCAAAGCCGGCTACTCCCTTACCGTCTTCACCCGCACCGCTTCCAAAGCCCAGCCCCTCGTCGAACTCGGCGCCAAGCTAGCCGATTCCCCAGTCGCCGTCGCTGCCCAATCCGACGTCGTCTTCTCCATCGTCGGCTACCCCTCCGACGTCCGTCAGGTCCTCCTCGAACCCACTACCGGCGCCCTCCATGGCCTCCGCCCCGGTGGAGTCCTAGTCGACATGACCACTTCGGAACCCTCCCTCGCCGCTGAAATCGCCGCCGCTGCAGCGGCCAAGCACTGTTATTCCATCGATGCCCCGGTCTCCGGCGGCGATCTCGGCGCGAAGAAGGGGACCCTGGCGATATTCACCGGCGGGGATCAATCCATCGTCGAGAAATTGAGCCCCTTGTTCGCCCTGATGGGGAAAGTCAACTACATGGGTTCTGCAGGTAAAGGCCAATTCGCGAAACTGGCGAATCAAATCACCATAGCTTCGGCGATGGTTGGATTGGTGGAAGGGATCATCTATGCTTACAAAGCAGGGCTCAACGTGGAGCTCTACCTCAGCGCGATATCGACCGGAGCTGCCGGATCGAAGTCGCTGGATTTGTACGCTGGCAGGATAATGAAGAGGGATTTCGAACCTGGGTTTTATGTCAACCATTTCGTTAAAGATTTGGGGATCTGCTTAAAGGAGTGCCAGAACATGGGGCTTGCTTTGCCTGGTTTGGCATTAGCTCAGCAGCTTTATCTGTCGCTCAAGGCTCATGGGGAAGGCGATTTGGGCACCCAGGCGCTGATTTTGGCCCTGGAGAGGCTCAACAATGTTTCTCTGGAGAGTCTTGGATCATCATCCAACCCTGGAGCTTAGTTAAACTGGTAACAAAAACAATGGAATTCGTGTTTGTACTCTGAATGATCCATCCCTAATCATTGCATGATCTGTACGAGTTTTTCAGACTGAAAATGGATTGTTCTGCTTCTGCTGATGTTTTTTTGGAGATAAATAATTGTCCCTTTTTCTGTATGGTTCTGCTGTGTTCTCTTGGGTACTTGTAACATTGTTGTATGTTGATCGATGTTCTTGCTGATGCTGGCCGGAATGAGCAAGGCAGAAGAAAGTTGTTGATCAGATTATGAAGGAGAGCTTGAATTCATAACACTAACTAAATTTCTAGCTTCTAAGTTATACCAGAAGCTTTCAGCTTGAATGATTGCCTGCCCTGAACAGAGTATGCCAAAAGCAAGAATCTTTCGTCCAATCTCAATCTGAAAACAATAGAATTCTCGTGGGAAATGACATGGGTGAACGAGGCAAAACCCAGCACAGGCGAAGTGGCATAGATGGAAAAGTAATAGTCTTGGTCAAAACTGGCGAGCTAGCTAACCCAGGAACTGCACCCATCCTCTTCTGGAAAAACTAGACTTATAATCTGATACATCAGGAAGATTCAACACTGTTTATGCCATCGTTCTGTGAATCTAACGTGTGTAAAATGAAGCTTCCTTGAAGTTCAGGGTTTGAATTCAGCAACATTGGACTTTTGGTCATATTGGATTTTAGGTGGTTTCCGCTTCTGTGGAAGCTGCGGTTTTCCATCTTCATTGATCGCTTCCCTGCCGAAGGAAGCCATTTGATAGGGACTGGGCAGCTGAAAAAGAACCAGCTCCGTACACAGCCTGCTGAGTGCTGATTTCACGAGTCTTGGGAGTTTTCAGCAGCTTTCCAAGACTTCGTACACCGCGGGCGTGCGGTTTTCACACCCAGGATAAACCAAAAAGACTTGACCTTTCTCCAAAACCATCTTTCATTTCCATCGCCTGAGTTCTCCAGACCAAAAAACCAGAACGAGCCAAAGAAAACCAAGAGAGAGCAACCTAACATGTTGAAACCGGCTCTTTCATGTCTCTCCCTCTACTTGCTGACAGTCTTTGCTTTTTTTAGCAGTCATGGAGCCTCACAGCTCCAGGAGACTCCAGCCAATGACGGCGAAATCCTGCGGAGAATCAAGCAACACTGGCAGAACCCGCAGCAGCTCTCTCACTGGTCATTTCCAGATTCCTCCTCGCCCTGCTCTTGGCCGGAGGTTAACTGCAGCGGCACCAACTCGATCATGTGGCTGAATTTCAGCTCCATGAACATCCCCGGTACGGTTCCACCATTCATTTGCGACCTGAAAAACTTGACCGTTCTTGATCTTTATAACAACAGTATAGTGGGAGGCTTCCCAAGGGAGCTCTACAATTGTTCCAAGCTCGAGTACTTGAATCTCAGCCAGAACTACTTTGTCGGTCCAATTCCTGGTGATGTTGACCGCTTGTCCAGCCTCAATCACCTCGATCTCTCTGGTAATAACTTCACCAGTGATATCCCAGCAGCCATTGGGCGGTTGAAGGAGCTGAGAGTTCTGTATCTCAATCAGAATCAGTTCAACGCCACTTTCCCACCGGAGATTGGCTCCTTGTCGAACCTAGAAGAGTTAGTATTGGCCCACAATGGGTTTCTGCCTTCCAGGTTGCATTCCAGCTTCACCCAGCTCAAGAATCTCAAACGTTTGTGGGTTTCAAATGCAAATTTGATTGGGGAGATAGCAACAACGATTGCGGAAATGGCAGCTCTGGAGTATTTGGATTTATCCAAGAATAAACTCAATGGAAGTATCCCTGACGGCTTGTTTAAGTTGAAGAACTTGAGCGTGGTTTATCTGTACAAGAACAGGTTATCTGGATCGATTCCTCAACCCGTGGAGTCTCTGGAATTGACTGAAGTAGATCTGTCGCAGAACAACTTGAGTGGCACGATTCCTGATGATTTCGGAAAGCTGGAGAAAGCCAAAATCTTGAATCTCTTCCTCAACAATTTTGGCGGGGATATCCCAGAGAGCATTGGCAGGCTTCCACAACTGAAAGAGTTCAGTGTGTACACCAACAACTTATCAGGTTCAATTCCTGCAGATTTTGGAAGATATTCCATGCTTGAAGTTCTTCAAGTTAACTCCAATGGCCTCACTGGTCAACTTCCTGAACATCTATGCAGCAACGGGAAGCTAGATGGAGTTGCAGCACACAACAACTTTCTCAGTGGAGAGCTGCCCGCGTCGCTAGGAAACTGCAGCACCTTGAGATTCCTCAGCATTACGAACAACTCTTTCTCTGGTGAGCTTCCAGCTGGTTTGTGGACTGCAACTAATTTGGAAACTCTGGTCGTTGGAGATAATTCCTTCACAGGTCAGCTTCCTGATGATGTGGCATGGAATCTTTCTCGACTTGAGATGAGCAACAACAGGTTTACTGGGGGGATTCCCACTGGAGTAAGTAATTGGAGCAACATGGTGTTCTTCTCTGCAAGCAACAACTCCATTTCTGGTACAATCCCTCCACAGTTGACTTCCCTTCCTCGACTCACCACTCTTCTGCTAGATGGAAACCAACTTACTGGTCCCCTTCCATCGGAAATCAGCTCATGGCAGTCTCTAACAACTCTCAACCTCAGAAGAAACCAGCTCTCGGGTCAAATTCCTGCCCAAATCACCAATCTAATTCGTCTTTCAGAACTAGACTTATCAGAAAACCAATTGTCTGGCAACATTCCTCCCCAAATCAGTCAATTACCTATAACTTCTCTGAATCTCTCCTCCAATCTGCTAGAAGGAAACATCCCACGGCAGTTTGAAAACGGTGCTTATTCCGATAGCTTCCTGAACAATCCTGGCTTGTGTTCAAGCAACTCTGACCTGAACCTCCGTAGCTGTAACTCAAGACCTTCTCAATCAAGCAAGCGTACCACGACCCACATCCTGGCCTTGGCATTAAGCATTCCAGCAGTTGTCGTCGTGGTATCTGTGATATCATCATTTCTCGCCATCAAGAAGGTTAGAGGGAAACATGTACAGGATTCCGCCTGGGAGTTCACCTCGTTCCAGAAGCTCAATTTCACGGAAGATAAAATCCTTGCAGGGTTGACAGAGAGCAATGTGATTGGAGTGGGTGGTTCAGGTAAAGTTTATCGGGTTGCTTTGGATCGTCAGCACGATTTTGTCGCGGTGAAAAGAATCTGGAATGATGAAGATAACAAACTGGCCAAGGATTTCATGGCAGAAGTGGAGACCCTGAGTGGGATCAGACACACCAACATAGTCAAGCTTCTGTGCTGCATTTCCAAGGGAGATTCTAAGCTTCTGGTTTATGAGTATATGAAGAACCACAGCCTGGATTGGTGGCTGCGTTCCGGTGCAATTAAGCGGGCAGCGTTGGACTGGCCAAAGCGACTCAACATCGCCATAGGTGCGGCTCAAGGTCTGGCTTACATGCACCATGACTGTGTGCCTTCCATCATTCACAGAGACGTGAAATCCAGCAACATCCTCCTGGACTCCGAATTCAACCCCAAGATCGCCGATTTCGGCCTGGCCAAGATAACGATGATGATTATGAACAGCAGCAGCAGCAGCAGTGGAGAAGCTGCTGCTACTTTGTCCACGGTGGCTGGCTCGTTTGGCTACATGGCACCTGGTATACACTCCTTCTGGTTCTCTTCCCCTGTTAACAAACCAAAATTATCTCTTCTATTTTACAAATTCAGTATCCAACCTTCTAACATGTTTTTTTACCATACATGACTAACCAAAAGCTTCTTGCAAACCTGCAGAGTATGGGCAGACGAGGAGGGTGAACGCGGCGATGGATGTGTACAGCTTTGGCGTGGTGCTGCTGGAGCTGACGACAGGGAGACAGGCGAACGGTGAGGGAGGCGAGGAGAAGACGACGATGCAGACAAGCCTTGCGGAGTGGGCATGGGGCCGAGTCCGGGAAGGGAAGGCGATAGGTGATCTCTTGGACGAGGAGGTGGAGGAAGAGTGTCACTTGGATGAAATGGTGAGTGTTTTTAAGCTTGGGGTTCTGTGTACGACTGCATTGCCCTCGAGCAGGCCGTCGATGAAGGAGGTGGTGCAGATGGTGGAGAGATGGAGAAGCGAAGGGAGTTCAGGAGGGAAGAGTGGTAGTGAAAGGATGGTTGACGAGAGCCCTCTGCTTGAGAACTCCAATGGCGACGGTAGCTTGCCAGTGTGAAGTGTGAGACTATGGGTGTAAATATTGCAGAAAGGAATTTGGTGTAGTTGGGGAAAGATTGTATTTTGGATAACCGTTTTCAGAGAGCACCATAATCAATCAAACATGGCGCAAATGTTGTATGGTAAGATACAGTGTAACCTCAAAACTATCAAAGACTCTAATCGGCACATTCAAGCAAATAGACAGTACACCCTTAAGACAATTGCAGATAAATTCTTTAGTGGTCATCGTTCATAGCCAACATTAACTAGTTTTGATATATAGAAGTATTGGGTAAATTGCAAGTTGGTTCACTCGATTACTAAAAAGTTTTACGATTTGCCACTAAAATATTTTATTCTATTCATGGTTACTAGAATTAGTTAAATATTTCAAGTTTGGTCACTCTCCGTTAGTTTGTCAGCTTCCGTTAACGACGTTAGTTTTGTGCTGGCGTGGCTAACAGAAACGCCTAATCAGCCTTTATTTAACAAAAGTATTGATGGTCAACTCAAACTTCGAGCTAAATCTATCTATTATTTTCAAAAGTTGGCCATAACTGTATTATTTGAAAGTTCGGGCCAAAACTGACACTTAAGCCAAACTTCGGGCCAAACTAGGGTATTACTATTGATCCTTTTTGTTAACTCGGAGGTTTAAGTTATGCTCTTGTCGTTTTTCGGATCTAATAGTTATAGGATTCTAACACTTTTGAGAAATGGTGAACTTTCAGAAATCAAAAGTCTCGTTCAGCGAGAATGTGAAACCACATCAAAGGCTCACGGTTGGGGGGAATCCTCGGGATGAAGATGGTTGAAAAACATGACAAATACTTGGGCCTGCCGAAAGTGGTGGGATGCTCGAAGAAGGAAAAATTTAATGGCTTGAAGGAGAGGGTGCGACTGAAATTGAAAGGATAGAAGGAGAAGACGCTTTCGATAGCCGGCAGAGAGATTTTAATTAAGTCAGTGGCACAAGCTCAGCTTACGTACGACATGTCTGTCTTCAAAGTACCGGAGGGTATTCTGGATGAGATTCACACTTCACAGTATGATTACAAATTTCTATTGGGGGCAACGAGGCTCAGAGAGGCGGGCTCACTGAATTAGGCGGGAGGAGTTAGTATGTACTAAAGCGGAGGGAAGTTTGGGTTTAGGGATCTGCATGGTTTTAACGCTGCTTTGCTCGCCAAACAGCTATGACTGCTTCACCAACATCTTGCTAGGGAAAGTTACATAAATATATTAACTACAATTTTCTCTTTCTCTCACTTCCATAATCTTCCGCCAGATCTCTCTTTCTTTTTTTCTCAATCTTTTCCTTGGTTTCGTTCAGCCGAAATACTTTTGCTGTCACAACAAAACAATAAATCAATACTAAATCATTAAAAAAACACTATCATTGCACAAAACACAAATACCATTCGAGAAATAAAATCGCTATCATTTCACAAAACACCAATATCATTGCAGATTTGATCAATACCAATACATGCAAATCAATAGCATTACATGATAATCAATACCAATGCAGAAAAAAAACAATACCAATACGAAAAAACACTATCACTACGGAAAAAAATCACTAGCATTTCACAAAAATACATACCTTTACACATCCAAAACTCCAATTAATCACAATAGCTAATCATAATCAATATCTGAAATTCTACCTAGGGTTTGTGATGAACAGCTGTTTGTCGATTTCCTTAACAGCCTGTTTGGAATCAATTCCTATAGGAATAGAATTCCATTTCCTATGAGAATTAGAATTCATGTACGAATTCCTTTTCATAATTTTTGTTTGGAATAAATCCTAAAATTTGGGAAATCATATCTAGTTTTTGTGTTGGAAGAAGATGGAAATGAATTCTTATACATACTTTTACTATTGTGTCCCTATAATCTATTAATATAACCACAAACAAATGGAAAGAGATTGATGCAAAACAAAATTTCCAAAAGAAATGAGTGATGAAGCGCCCATAGCTTCTAGATCTGGACAAAAAAAAATCATGAAATCAAAAGTCTAAATTGTTATGCAACGTGTGGAGAGGAGATTGACAAAAGAAAAAAATAACTCAATTAATAAGTGTAATGGAGAGGAATACAAGGCTAGAATGGAGATTACTAGTTAAAGTAGCAATGGGCCCCACAAATTCCAATGAAATATAAACCAATTCCGACCAGTTTTGATCGGAAATGTATTTCCACAATTTTGTAGGAAATGATTTCCATTTCTCATAAAAAAAGTGTTCCAAATATGAGAATTCATTTCATTTTAGAAAATGGAATTCCATTTCTTAAAATTTATTGCTTTCCAAACAAGCTGTAAGAGAGACAGAGATGGAAGGGATGTTGTGGAGGAGGGTGGAGGAGGGGAAGGGGGTGGCCGCCGGCAGGCAAGAGGGAAAGAGATCAATTTTTTTTAAGTTGTTGACGGCTAAAATGGTTGTAGACTTGTAGTAGAGTTTGTGTATACTATATAGAAATCCATTTTTTAATGAATAGTAATAATGTGTGGTATTTTTTTGTTTTCAAAATTGTCATTCATCTTATATTTACCTACCATCTATTTAAAAATAGGGTGAAATAGAGATAATAAATTGTGTAATTAGAGTGAAATAGAGTAACCGCCCTTACTCATCCCCTCTCGAACCTAAAACATTAAATCCTTAAACTTAAGGCAAAAATTAAATGACAAAAATTCTCACCTTCTAAAACCCCTCACCTAATAACAACTAATTTGACACCCTCAAACGACATTCAATATAAAAACAAATAATTATCGAGGATAATTGGAGGAAATAAGTTTTATTAACACTTCATTTGGGTACTGGGTTTAACCTCGGGTTTGGGTGAATCCGGATCCTTCATTGAGCTCTTAATAAGTCATCGAAACACCTTTTCCAAATCTTTGTAGTCTTTCGTTTTTGCTGCTTTAAAATCCATATCATATGGAGGTTTAAGGACTCTCAGCTTCACAGAATATACATTGAAATTCTTCAGGATTACAATATTCTTCGAATCATTTAATTTTCCATTTGTGATTTTTATATCAAAATGCAACAAAACTGCTTAAGTAAATAAATGTTAAACAAAACAACGATCAAATTTTTCGGTGAGAGAGAAATAACAGCCCGGTAAAACAGAAAGCATAATATTATATAATTGAAATAGATATAACTACAAAATATAAGTTCTCCACTAAAAATAATTATGCGAACACTTCATTTTTTATTTTATTTGATTCATGCTCTTTCAGACTCTTTCGGACTCAACAACCGACTAACCTCCTCCACCTCTATTGTTACGCCAAAGCAATTTTTGGAGGGGTAAATATGGATAGATTGAGTGTTGCTGGTTTGCCGAACGCGGATAGAAAATGTGTTACTAATGTAAGCAGACCCAAATAGTGCCCGACCCATAAATGCTCAACCACCACGCTTATTTTCGCTACACCTAATATAATAGTGAAATGAGAAATGTTCTTTCCACTTTACAAAATCCCTGCATCTATAGCGAAAGTAGGAATGTAGATTCATCTTCACAATCATTTATTATTTTCTTATTTACAGAAAAATGCGTCAGTGATATGATTTGAATTGTGATCTCTTTGAAAAAGACAAGAAATACAACCAATTATATTATCAAAAACTGTTTTATCTATTTAAATCATATAAAATACATGAATCTTAAATCTAAAAAATCGTAGGAATTTTACACCAAGGTTAGCTAACTCACTAACTCTCTTACAAATATGTTTTTGGTATTTGATATTTTTATCTTCATATTTTGATTATTTTAATTTGTGTTTAATAATTAATTATATTTATGTTTAACGGATTGCTTGCTTACCAAGCCATCCAGGATTTGCACTCCTCCCCCGGCCGATTGAGTCTGCTTTCAAATTCTTGTAAAAGTTGCTAATTCTACTTTCTAATAGAGTCGTTATCTTATAAAAGAGAATAATAATTTTAAAATAGCAACCATAATGTCATTGGTGTATATATTGCATACCGAATTGCAGTATTAAATGTGTAGAAGCGATGCAAAATTCTTGAAATATACTTAAATTTTATAACTATTATAAAGTAACAATATTTTTTAACACAAAACTTTTGAGTGAATATGAGGCACATGAATCTTTAAGAGAAGCGTAAATATGGAAATGTTGAGTGACGTTGGTTTGTTGAACGCAGATGGAAATGATGCAACTAATGTAAACGGGTCTAAATAGTGTCTCGTCCCACTAAGCGCTCAACTATCGCCGACTTTCCAAACCTTCCCACCGGACTTGACAACCGCCTAACCTCCTCCACCTATATTGTTATGCCAGAGAAATTTTTGGAGGGGTAAATATCAAAATGTTGGGTGTTCTTGTTTGGAGAGCTTACTGGTGGGTTGTTTAGTTTCTTTGATAGTAATGTGTGATCTCTTAACAATCAATTCATTTGGTTGATCTTCTAGATTGACTTTTGAGTTGATTAAAGATACAGAGCTATACTTTTTGTTGCTTTTGTTATGATACTCCTTTTCAGTATCATCATTTTCCTAATTTGAAATGTTTTTGTGGTTAGTTTCGAGTAAGCAAAAACTCTACTGATTAGTGTTAACATAGTGAATAGCTTCAATCATACCATTTTTACACAGATTTTATATGTAAGAGCTGAGATCGTTGCTAAATTGAACTATTCAACTTATAATGTTGATCTTCAACATATAAAACATGGTTTCTTTTGAGTGAAATAACCTCATGATTGCATATAAGTTTTTACAAAATGATGTTTCGTGATAGTTGTCACTTGCTTCCAGATTTAAAAGTGGAGTTCTAATTACTACTTTATAAAAAGCACGAGTGATAGCCATAATTGGAGCAGATACAAGGTGGTTGATATTCTTCTCTCTACAAGGAATAAATACATGGTGAGCATGTGTTGTCATGGGAAGGACAAACCGAACTTTTTGTGTTTGTATTATGAAATAGACACATGTCTAGACCCGAGTGATTGGACACCTCCACCTGGAATTTTATTGATGGAATTTATGCTCATCAAAACCGCATGTCAAGTAAACTCCCTTCTTAATCCTTCTGTTTTTCTTAATCTGCACATGCACACCCTCATAGGAAACATGTACATAATTGTAATTTGGGTGCTTCATTAGTATTGTTTTCATAAGATTTTTGTTTTATCTGAGGTGGTTGTTATGGAATTATGAATCGTGATTGTATCTCCTCTCTAAGAAATTGTCAAGTTAAGCTATGAAGAGATTAACCTAAACTTCCTCTTTAATTTAGATGGTAAGACCGTAAGAGAGCAATGATCCACGCCAAATTAATTGGGGTTGATGAGGCCTAGGAAATGGTTTAGACTTCTTCAGAACAACACAAGATCCTGATAGTATCTCAACCAAAACAATTCTTGTTGTCATGCTTGATGTTGGTACAAGATGTTTACCTAGAGGAGAGCCCCACCAAGTTAGCTCTTGGAGTTGCTGTGCAAAAATGGGTAAGGCTGAAACGGTTCATACAAAAGACCATACTATGATCATGTAGAACGTGTTGGTAGAGATAGCCGCCAATCTCATTTTATTGATGAAGCCACGAAGGAGCATAGAGGAATCTCCATTGGTACTCTAAATTTTACAAGGCTATTATACTGATCATTTATTTCATTTCATGTAAATTCGTATTAAGACTAAAGAGATATTACCTCAAGCCATAAATTGCAGCATGGTTGTTTGGATTAATGTGGTGATGCAAAATGTCATGTAGCTGCCACGAAGGAGTAAGAGAGGACCAATCAGTGTGTTGTTGTCGAGAATGATAATAATCGTGATAATGAAGAGGTTACATGACGATTGACTTATACAGATTAAAGAAATAATAAGTACAGAGTTGAAAGTCATATTATTATGATGTTGTTGACCTAATGAGTCAGAGTATCCATTTTCGAGACTCCTTCCGTTCAATGAGCCGGGTGATAAGCTAGGATGGTTGTCATGCCGGTGGCATGCCACCCGGTTCAACCTGGTTCAACCTGTGCTGGTCATGAAACCGGCATGACGCCACCGGTATGACCGGTATGATCGACTTACGTATTCTAAGTAAAATGACATCATTTTAATGAATTTAATGAATAAAAAAATTAATTTTTTATTCATTTTATGAATGTAATAGTTAAAAGTTGATGATATTTGTTGGATTGTAACTAAATTGTCTACAAATATGTTTTATATATGATTAAATACATTGGATATTAATTGTTTTCACATTTTTTAAACCCGCATGAACCGGCACAAACTGGTTATACCACTGGTCGTACCACTCCACTTGTCAAACCGACACAACCAGTGGCGGACCCAGAAATTTTCCATAGGGGTGTCCTCTTTTAAAAAATAAATTAAATAAAAATAATTAATAAAAATAAAATCGTAAATATGAAAATACCTTACTCGTACAGGTTAAAAAAGTCCATGATGTGTTTTCATATTCGAAAATAATTGTAGAATACACTTGGTGTTTATAGTGTTAAAAAAAATTTCTCCATATACCCTACTAGACAATCATTCAGGAACTTATCGCATATTCGATTTGTAAACTTGTTCTTGATGTAACCCAAAGCTGAAAGACTCTTCAACACTTGCCGTACAATCATAAAATCAATACAAATTAAGGGTAGATTGAAATTAGTTTAGATTGAAATAATTAGAGATAAGGAATGACTTTTTACTATTACACATTGTTCAAAATCGAACAACAAATGAGTTGTAGCTCAACGGAAGTTAAGTTTATTAATAATAATAGTGTTTTAGATTTGAATTACCCAACCTACCATTTATATTTTTATACACAAATGACAGTATGATAATCATTTTTTCAAATTTCAGGGGTGTCCCTCACTATCAATTATATTTTTTTTGTCTATACGTAAATTACCACCGGGAGTTGGATAATTATTTTCCCGAGGACACCCCTAAAACCCTCTGGGTCCGCCCCTCGGCACAACTGTATAAACCGGTTTGGCAACCTTGTAAGCTAGTAAAGAGAACAAGAAAAGTGGAGAGTATGTCTAAATGACGATAACACCCCTTCCTTCCTCTTCCTTTTCCCGGACCCCTGCCCTCTCTCCCTCGCCGGCTCGCCGCAACTCTCACCCCGCTCCTCTCCCTCTCGCTCCTCTCACTCTCTGTCGAGTGTCGACGGTTTAAAACATGAAATGGGGGAGAATCCCGTCCCCTCTCCAAGTTTGTGAGACCACTTCACTCAAGGCTTTGCGATTCTCCAAGTTACCCTGTAATAGTTTCACGGCAAGCAATTGGGTCTTCTCCTGCTCCACGAACCCCAATACTCTTCTTCGACTGGTGAAGATCGCACAAAACCTATCATAATGCTGTTTCATAACCTGCGAAGAGCTTATGGCTGTGCTTGTTCTTCAGTTACCCATGTTGTTAATTCGTCTCGGCTGCTTTCCACTCCGTTCTCTCACCCTGCGCGCTTCAGGTAATAACTAATAACCCTCACTCTGGTTCCAACTTCGATTCTTCAGCTCTGTTAATTTTACCCCAAGAGAAGCAATTTTGTTCACAGGAAGCCGATCTGGCAACCCCAGAAGTTCCAACCCTTTTCATCTCCATCCAGAGCGTTAATTGGGTTCTGTTTACCCCGGCGTAATTCATGGGAATTCAGATACTTGAGTAGCTACGGGTCGGTGAACCTGGTGATATCGGATGGGAAGCCCAAATTTGAGACTCGTGAGGTTGATCCTCCTAAAAAGGACAAATGGCTGACCAAGAAGAGACTGAAGCTGCAAAGGAAGAGGGAAAAGGACAGGAGAAAAGCTGCTAATAGGAAAGACCCTCGTACCCTCACTGTGAAGAGGGATAGGAAGAAGAGATTTGCTAATGCAGAGGAGAGAATCAAGTACAAGCTTAGGCGGGTGAGTTTTGATCTCCCTTCCCTTTTATCCTTCAAAAATCCCTGATGGCAATGGCTTGAACATTTTGGGTTTTGTTCTTTGAATTCCTTCCATATGGGGTCTTGGATCCAAACTTGTTTGTGTTTCATATTCGATGTTGCTTTGGTGGGTGTAAACAAGTAATGATTCTATGTCGATGTGCGTTTGGGAAAGATGATGACTTTATAATTTGGTATCATGAATGTCATTAGTGGTTTGGTTCTCTTAATTCTTTTGAATGAATATGCAGGCAAGAATGAAGGAGGCAGCACTAATTGAGAGACTGCAGAGGTATGAAGTTCCCAAAGCTCAAGGTCCCGAGGTTAGACCGCATAAGCTCACTGGTGAAGAGCGGTTTTACCTCAAGAAGGTGGCGCAGAAGAAGTCTAATTATGTTCCGATTGGCCGGAGAGGAGTATTCGGAGGTGTCATCCTTAATATGCATATGCATTGGAAGAAGCATGAGACCGTGAAGGTTATTTGCAATTCATGCAAACCTGGTCAGGTTCATGAGATTGCTCAGGAGATTGCGAGGCTGAGTGGTGGGATCCCTATACATATAAGTGGTGATGATACCATTGTGTTCTATCGAGGGAAGAAGTATGTTCAGCCAGAAGTTATGTCACCAATTGACACATTGTCAAAGAAGAAGGTAGAGAGTGTTCTTGTATTGACGAAATTTCCACTGATATTACTGTGTTTCACTTGCAAGATACTTGTTGTCTAGTTTTAATATTTTCTTTAGATGTATCATGACTTTAGGAGTCTGTTTGCCACCACCATGAATAATGGTTTTTATACTTGTATCATGTATGGAGTGCATAATGTTTGGCCGCCATTGATAGACCTCAATTTCTTTTTGCAGGCACTGGAGAAATCAAAGTATGAGCAATCACTCGAGTCCGTCAGACGCTTCATTGCTATAGCCGAGAAGGAACTCGAGCTCTACTACAGACATATCGCACTCTATGGTGACCCAAATAGTAGGAATCCAATCTCCATATTGGACGGACCGCCACAAGACTCCAGAGACCTGGGAAAGAGGAGCTACGATTCTGCTAGGGATTTCGGGACAGATGCTGATTGCAGTAGTGAAGAAGCACTATCCGAAGAAATGGAAACTGATTTTGACGATGCTGATTGGAGTAGTGAAGAAGAAGAATCAGATTCTGGAAAATCATAATTTTGATGGCCTAGTTTTAGGATTCGATTTGACATAATGTGATTTACCGGCTGGCCTGGTTTTCATCTGCAGTGATTATATAGTGAATTCTGTATATACCTTTTGCGCAACTAGTTTTCATCCAGAGGGGCTGTTTTTTTTCCCTTCTCCTGCAGGAATATTTTTGTACCTCAATGGTAAAACAGAAAGAAAAGTTGTTGGCGCCCTCGCGTACTATATAGTGTTAATGAAGTGATGAAAATGGCCTTGCTAGTGAAAGCAGACTACAACTGCAAATCTGCAATGCTGACATGCTGTTAATTGCTATTAATACTGTTATAGTAGTCTTGTAGACTTTGCAGCCTTTCTGGTCTCAGTGAAGATGATAAAGATAGCTTTTAATAACTTGTAAGTTGTAACCAACTAAGACAAAAAGGATGCTTGATAGTTGGGTTACCGAATCAACAGAAACAAAATTTTCCCTTTTGCCTGACTACGGCTACTCAACAGTTTACATCGATCACACATTTTATTCTCTATAAATAATTGTTCGAAACATGCAGAACGATAAACCGAAATGGTAAAGCTCGGAGCCATAACTGCTGCTTCAGGGGAAGCTTTTGCATTCTGATGCTGCTTCCAGTAATTGTTCTACACGTCTGAAGGGGAGGTCTGACCTTCTATCTGTCTACCTACTGCCTTACACATGATGCTCTCTCAAGATTCTTCAGTAGCCTCTAAGTATCGAGAATGAGAAGCAGCCAAGAGGGCTGCACCAATGCCAGAGCCATCGTTTGAGAGCTCAATGGTTACGCTCTCTGAAACTTCATCTCCAAGAAATTCGGTTAGGGTGGATTTCAAGCAGTCTCTAAACTTGGTGTAATGCTCAAACAACCCTCCATCCAATGCTATCACCGACTTCTTCTTGTCCCCTTTCTGAATTGTGTCTCTTCCAACTTTCTTGAGGATGCCGAAAATACCAGCAGCTGATAGACGAGCCCCACGGGTGGCGATTATGTTGCACAGCTCAACAATTAGCTCTCTCGTTTCTACGGATGTATTTGATATCTGAAAAAAAAAACATCAAAGGGGAAGTGAGAATATGAAGTATATCAGATTGTGGATTTGCATGATGAACTAATAAAGCCATTGAATCCTAAAGTTCATACTTCAGAATCAGAAGGGAAAGGAACATTACGAAATTCCCCTATAGTCAAACAGTTAAGTGCCCATATAGTTTTACATTAGCAAACTGATCCACCTCCACTATCGTACAATTTACTAGTACTCAAACTTCTAAAACTTTATCCAACATGCATTGATTGCATTCTAAATGACAAATTATCTAATTATCCTCCAAACCAAGTCGAATTTTCAACAGAATGACATGATCTGACCACCTAACGTCCCCACGAACTCCTATTAACCTAACTCATGAACCCGTGAACCCACCAAACCAACCCATTGGCTATCTCTAGACTCTTTTTTTTTTGGTGAAAGGCTATCTCTAGACTCTAATAAGTAATAACTATCATAAAAGGATAGTGTCGCAGACTATATATGCTGAAGTTCAACATGAGAAATTTTGATTGCTGGGATTGGCTATTCTAACTTCACCTTTCCATAAGGATATAAAAAGAAGTCATGGAAAAGACTTCAATAAGAAATGTACCTCGAAGACTTCTCTTAGTTTGCTTCCAACAACTGTTAAATCTGAGGATGTATCATGATGCATTGCTGACATAACCGGTGTCCTGGATGCACAGTATCAGAACCAAAAATCAGTCATCAATGACGAAACTCATGGCAAAGACCCTAATTTAGCTTAAGTAACCTTAAATGACACACAACATACCTCAAGATGAATGGAGACGTCAATTTTGGAGGAACAACATCACCAAACAAGGCAGCTTCTTCAGCCATCTTTAGTAGAACCCTGCGTAAGATTTCTCCTAAATACATACCAGAAATCACCTTCTCAAAAATCTGCAAGACAAGAAAGAAAGCTCTTTATGAGCATGGTTCAAACTATAATGAAGTCAATGCAGTCTGTTATCTGAATAAGAAAAGAGTCAATGAGGTTGATCTTGAAAGGGACAAAGGAAAGAAAAAAGGTTACACTGACCTGATCTCCAGGATTCAAGGATTCAATATCCAGGGCTTTATCATATTCTGTCAGTGGAAGGTGCGAGGAGTGGAAACTACCCCATTCCATGTTGATAACCTATTATCACAAAGCATTGCCTTTTTAGTGCCATAAAACTTGGAATTACAATTGTAACAAGTAACATAGGATGATAATACGGATTACGGACCATTTCACCAGACTTGGGGAGAGCACCCTTCATCTTTGGAATAGCATTTGCTCGTTCTGCATATGCTGCATTGGTTCCAGTGCCCAAGATCACAGCTGCAATGACATCAGGGTTATTATACCTTCCTCCAGCCAGTGTTCCAACTGTGTCATTCACCTACATCATCAGTAAAATGAAAATGTCAACCAATGACAGAAAAATTACGAGTTACATCATCAAATTCCATTCTCAACGAACTGTCTGCCTGAATCCATTCCAAACATGTGTCCCTTACCAAAGCAGCCACGCGCATATCAACACCGACTCTTTCCATAGCTTTCGTCAGTTCGGCCACAACATCTTGTCCAACCTAATGTCCAGGATTGGAAAATAAATTTATCAACAAAAACCCACAAACACACAAAAGGAGAGCTAGGAAGTGAACTTTTAGCTAATGTCAGTGAGATGCACCACTATTCTGCCCTCCATTACCAATAATTAAACATAAATGCAACCGTAGCAAAAGAGATCAGGCACAAAGGAAGCAAGACTGCAAGACCAAATGTATCTCAAAATGTGACAGCAATCAAACACAATGTTCTAAAAGGATTACAGCATCAAAAATCAAACAAACAAGTGAATGGTTTTTGTACCGTCTCATCAATGGAGAACCCTTTCGTCCATTTGATAAGATTGCCTGAGGAAATCGATGTCTGATTGACTGGAAACGAGAATGTGAAACCCAGTTCTCTCTGCCTACCAGGAGACGGCCGCATATCTTCACCTTCCGTGTCAACAAATCTCTTTAGAGCTTGAGCAATGAAATCGAACAACTCCTGTAAAAAAGTCCAAGTCCACAATCAGAATTTGCAAAAAAGGAAACAAACAAAAAAAAAACCCACCTCCCCAAATGGGATATCCTCACATCTGAGGTTGCAGTCATCACGTGTGGAGGAATGGAGACCTCCACCGATTCTTGTTTGACCACTCGCCCTTCTTGCCCGCCGAGCACCACTCTCATCACCCGGAAATTCGTCCCACCGAGATCCAACGCATAAAACAACCCTTTCTCATCTCTGAAGAAACAGTGAACAACAATTGAAATCCAATCGCACCCACAAGAAGAAGAAGAAAAAATCAGGCAACAGGGGAGGAAATTAAGTTTTGGGTCATACCCAGTGGGCAGATTGTCGACGTAGCTAACGAGCATCTTGAGCTTGCTCCCGCCGTCCAACAGCAGCCCGGCGTGCATCTCGTCAGTCATAGCATCGGCGAGCCGCTGCAGCTTCTCGATCGGCGTCGCACACCTGCGCCGGAACCCATCCGCAATCGCCCGCACTTTCTCCCGCCGGCGGCTCTGCCTCCTCCGGCGTACCAACGCGTCCGCCGCAACAGCGGCAGCGCAAACCGCCGCCGCTCCGACCACCACTGCAACCACCGTCTCCTTCTTCATTCTCTCACCCACCGACCCACCTACCAAACACTCTCTCAGCTCTGCTTCCTTCCCCACAAAATGTCAAAAAAAAAAATATCCCCTCGTGAATTGGAGTTACGTCAAGAGATTGTGGCTCCGGCTTTGTGGAATCAGCCAATATCGTTATTTTTATAGATATATCTGGGCCGCAGGCGCCGGCATCATCATCCACTGTTAACGGAAATTGAGGAAGAAAATTCTTGCAGAGAAGATATCGGTGACTGGGCTGAGAAAGAGACAGAATAGGGGATTTATATAAAACCAAAAAATACGATCAATTAGTCATTTTTTTACTGTTGGATATAATTATTAATTAGCAGATTAGGATTACTAATTGCGGTATAATTATGGAATGGATTGATTAATAGATAAGTCAATGGATAATAAGAGTAATAATTAAGTTTGGAAAAGGATTTTTATGTCTTAAATATGTTAATCATTCGATTTCGACGTGACTTATCCAAAAAGAAAAAAAAATACAATAATAAGGTAGAAATTTACGTGGGTAATTTATCCATGATGATATATTGAATCCAAACTTTATCCCTTTATTATCGGTAAGTTTATCCACTTTTGAGATTTATTTGTTAGCTTAAAATCGTTGGCAAGATGAATGCCGAAGCTCTGTTAGTCAACTAGAAAAGTTATCATATCCTAAAATATTTATATCTTGATGTTATATCATATATGTTGGATTCAAGTATAAATGTTTGGAAGTTGACGCTAAATGTTACATTGAAATATGATTATTTTTCATTTTGTTTGTAATGAAGTTAAGTTATATAAAAATGGATAAAGATTATAGGTAGATTTTCTTAAGATAGATTATATCGATTGTCTTAATGGTTTTCCATCTCCTCATATAAAATGTTGAAATCGGCATATAAATAAATTGGACCATACCACTTGCTAAACATAATATAAACTGGTTTAACCGATCAAATAAGAAGAGTCATTTCAACGAGACTAGTATAACCTAAGGAAACAGACTGTCATTTTTCCATTGGGTAAATGCCACATTTGGTCACTGAGATTACTAAATCATGTCATGTTTAGTCACTATAGAAAAATTAATGTCAATTTTGGTCACTCGGATTACTGAAACATGTCACATTTAGTCACTCTTCGTTCGCCTCCGTCCAACTCCATTACTTCGTTCGCCTCCGTCCAACTCCTTTAATGGAGTTGGTCGGAAACTAACGGGAGAGTGACTAAATGTGACATGTTTCAGTAATTCGAGTAACATTCATAAAAAAAACAGTATTTCGAATGACCGGAGTTGGACGGAGGCTAACGGGAGAGTGACTAAAAGTGACTTGTTATAGTAATTCGAGTGACCAAAATTGATATTAATTTTTTCTAATGACTAAACATAACACGATTTAATAATCCCAATGACCAAATGTGACATTTACCCTTTTACCATTTACCAGCAATGTTCAATGTGTAACTCAGAAGTGACTCTCTGGCTCGTCAATTCTCCCTTTGTGGAGGCAAGTGCTCTCACCACCTCCTCCATTAACAGAAATCGGGTTTTGCTGGAGTCTTGTTGTCACTAAAGCGGATGTTGCGTCCGGGGATCTTTCTCTTTTAGTTAGAGTAAAATTTTCGGTTTTGTTCTGCCTTGGTTTTTTCATCAAATGGTGGAGTTTTGCTACTTGTGCATACTTATTTTTTATAAGTTCGTCACTATCTACATATCATTTTTCGTCTAAGACAATCTTTATCGTTAGCGTCCAGCCATTAGATTCACGAATGACATATAAAAAGAACACTTTCATGTCGCATGAATTGCTTTTTGAAAATTTCGCTTTCTAGAGTTATTAACCCTCGTTGTTAGAACAAACGTCTCTCAAATATTTTTTGAGATTAATAGTATGCAAGATCACAGTCTTATTAGAAGGATATGCCTTTTCCAATTAAAACTAGCTCGTCGGACAGCAGCACTTGATCGCGACCGAAAGTTGTTCAGTCGAGATCGAATTGTTGCTAGCAATCTTACATAGGCTGAAAATAGGTCAAGATCTGCTTCAAAAGAAACATAAGAACAAAGAGAAGGCTTCTTCTATAGAGGAAATGGACAATCCTTCCTTGACTGCAGTACTCATACCACGTCTACTCCTACCAGGAGGAGCAAGCATAAATCTCCGACGAAGCTCCCTTCCCATGGTTTCGGCCTATAGCACACACGCCGAGCATACTCCACCATGCACAGGAGTATCAAGATTCCAACAAGCCTCCTAGCCACAAGCATATCAAGACTTCAACACGCCTAGGGTTGCTTCGAAGCTGGTCAAGGTAAGGAGACAGCACAGCATAATGAGTTCCCAAGTACTTACAGAGAAGGCGGATTCTCGCCCTCACAACCTACCTCGGAGTGCAGACCATGTTCAATGATTATCTCGAAAAATGATGCTGCCTTCACACGGGAGAACTCAAAATGACATGTTTAACATGCAGCAGCAGCAGCAACAAGTTACAACTCACAACTACCAGCCTTAGTAAGCTGATCAACCTTCAATTCAAGGGATTGTTGCAGAACAGGAGCTTCATCTTTCAAATGGTGAGTGACACTGACACAACTATGGCCGACATTAAAAATTTTACTTATCCATATCAGGCTGAATCACTTCGTTAGAATGCTGGGCAGAAAACTACGCTAGTGATTTGTGAATGAGATTCATAAACCAAATCTACACTGCAGCTAGATGTTAACCATGTTCAATAGTTAGATCTCGAAAATGATACCGCCTTCGCATGGAAGAACTGAAAATGACATGTTTAACCTGCAGCAGCAGCAACGAGCTGCAACTACCAGCCTTAGTAAGCTGATCCGGCTTCAATTGAAGGGAAGGTTGCAGAACCGGAGCTTGATCTTTCAAATGGTGTGTGACACTGACACAACTATGGTCGATATATGACAAATTTACTTACCTTTATCAGGCTGAATAGCTTCATTAGAATGCTGGGCAGAAAACTATGATTGTGATTTGTGACCTATCTGAACTGCAGCTAGATTTCGAAACCAAGGTGGGATCCAATCCACGAAACAACGAAAGAAAGAATCATCCAGACAACAATTCAGCACGAGTTGGGAGGACAGGTAGGAGGAAGTTCCCGAATGGGGAATCCATGATTCTGTAATTCCCTGTGCACCCATCTTTCTGAGCCTGGCTCACTGCCATGGTCTTACCCTGTTCAATCCAAGGATCCACTCTACTACTACTACTACTACTACTACTACTACTAATACCTACTCCAGAACCACTTCTGATTGTTGCTGCTTCGTCTGCTGCCGTTTTGGGTCCAGCCGAAGATGCTGCAGTCCTGCATCAATAATCAGCAAGGACTAATGAGAACCCAATTCGCTCTCCCAATCCTGAACAGAAACCCTAATTACCTGAAATCTCCATCCAATTCGCCCACCAAAAAAGGGATATCCAAAAAAAAAAAACAAGGGCACACACCAGTGGAGTCGAATAAGGTTCGGGTCGGGAAAACGAAATGAAGAAGTCCAGAGAATTACTTACTTCGACTTGTGCGGCGGCGGCTTGAACTTTCTTTTCTTCTGCTCCGGTTCCATTCTCGCCGGTTGTCGAACTCTTCGACGGTTCCCTTACCAGTTTAATTTTACATCCGTCTCTTTCGTCTCACGGCTCTCATCGTCCAACCGGCATGTAAGGAAGCCAGGCCCAGTCCATCACTTTTGGGCCAAGCTCAGTACACTTGAGGCGGGATTGGGTAGAGACATAAAGGCCCAGTTGGATTGAGCGACTCTCTGAAAATTAGAGTTGACGAAAGGCTCCTGCAGTATAAGAACCAAGGTTGTCAAACCGGTTTATGCCAGTGTGCCGGTTTAGCAAGTGGAATGGTTCAACCGCTGGCACATACCGGTTTGTGCCTGTTCATGCTGATCAATATTACAAATAAAATTATAAATACTCATATTTAAACATGACATTTAACGTCAATACCTAAACAATAATACTTGAATCCAACAAATAACATCAATATTTAACTTTTATACTCATAAAATAATTTTTATCAATTAAATTTTCTAAAATAAGGTCATTTTACTTAGAGATTCGTATATCGATTATGCCGGTCATACCGGTGGTGTCACGCCGGTTTTATGACCGGTACCGGTTGAACCCGGTACAACCGGTGGCACGCCGGCCGGCCGGCCTGACAACCATGAGAAGAACACAACAGAGAAGCTAGTAAAAACACTGACTGATAGATATACTCGAGAAATAGAAGAAAAAAACCCAGAGACAAAGTGAGAGAGATGGATACTGTATTCTTTCTGAAGGGAAGAAATAGAGCAGAGCATATAAAGCACGTCGCCTTTGCTGATCCTGAATTGAAAATTGTCAGAAGATCCATAACATTCGAGGAGGAAATTGATTGATGTTACAGAAAGAACGAACAAGCATACAATGTGCAAGATTTGTCGTCGAAAGGAATTACAGTGAATGAAAGCATATCCAACCGAGTGAGCTATGGACTGCCTGAAAGAGAGGGTTTACATAGAGAAATTAAGTCTCAATCCTTGTTGGCGAGCGATTTTAAAGCTTGATCACCAACCCCTCAAAGTTGTGGACTCCTGCAACTTCAGCCAATTGTGTGCATCCCGTGATATCCAGTTCACGTAAATGCTTCAAACCAGATAGATCAGGCAACTGTTTTATCGACTTGCAGTTAGCCATCTGCAGCGCTTGCAACGCCTCCAAGTTCTCGAGCCCCACAACCTCAGTCAACCCTGTGCAACCACTAATATCTAAAGTAACAACATTCTCTAAGCCGGATAAATCTGGCAACTCCTTAATCCAACTGCAGCCTGACATACTTAGATATTCTAGCCACTCCAACCTCTCAAGCCCCTTAACCTCACTCAACCGTGTGCACCGGCTAATCTGCAATGACTTCAGATTCACAAATCGAGATAAATTTGGCAACTGGGCAATCGATGAGCAATCCACCATGCTGAGTGATCTCAACGACTCTGATCTCTCAAGTATCGTAACCTCAGACAACTGTGTGCATTCATCAACAACAAGTTCCACCAGATTTCTAAGAGTAGATAGATCTGGCAACTTCCTAATGCACTTGCAGCCTGACATATCTAGCACTTCTAACGACGCCAATCTCTCAAGTCCTGTAATCTCTATCAACTGTGTACATCCACCAATGTTTAAGTTCTTGAGATTCTTGAGACCAGAAAGATCAGGCAACTCCCTCACTGATGTGCAGTCTGATATACTAAGGGATCTCAAGGTCTCCAATTTCTCAAGCCCATAAACCTTGGTCAACTGTTTGTACCCAAAGATCAATAGCTCCTCGATATCACGGAGACCAGACACATCGAGAAATTGTTCTCGTGACGAAAGATGGTGGCCATCTGTCTCGAATGCATACAGGACTAGCTTTCTTAATCTGGCTAACTTCCAGACGCAAGGCAGCAGTTGTTCCATAGGCTGATCATGTGCTTCCGACAGTCCAAGAGCCTGAAGCAGGCCCCCGGTATTTGCTAAGCTGGGACAATCAATAATGTACAGACTCGATAAAGAGCATTCCTCTGGTTCTCCTAGGCCTTGGATTTCAGAGAGAAGCTGACAGGAACTGATCTCTAGTAGCTGTAACTTTGTCAAATTCGATAAACTAGGAAGTTCTTTCAGTAAACAACAGTTTTCCACCTTTAGTGTCTTCAGAAGCAATAGATTTTCAAGCCCATCGAGATTGCCAAGATTCGGACCACTGGATATGACCAAAGTTTCCAGCATTCTCAGGTCTCCCAAACCCTGAACCTCATGTACCTGAACCCGCATCAATCTCAGTTCCTTCAGGTTGTTCAGATTTGCAAGGCTCGGTAGTTTCTCCAAAGGCTCACAGCCAGAAATCAAAAGGCTTTTTAGAGAGGATGGGAAGACAGAAACGATAATACCACTGTTACTAAACGACGAGTCCCAAAGCTCCAGTGTTGTCAGCTTGGATAGCTTCCATATATCTCCTGGAATTTCAAGCTGGTCACATCTCTCAAAGGATAGATGTTCCAGATCCCTGAGCTCAGAAAGGTTAGGAACCCGGGAAGACGAGAGGGCTAGCTGCTTTAAACTTGGGGGGAGTGCTGCTACTTCTTCCAACTCCGACACAAGTGATGTCAGTTTTAAGATTTTGAGAGAGGATAACCAGCTGATACCAGCAGGCAGTTGTGTCAAATGACCCGCAACAATCTCTTGGAGATTTTTAAGCCTTGCAAAGTCACCGTTTAACTTTGTTATTTTAGTCATAGTGAGGCTCAGCACTTTCAGATTCTTGAAACTGCCAACGTGTAGTTCCCCCCTCATCTCCCAACAGGTCCAAAAATGTATGAACTCTAGACTTCTGCAGTGGGACAAGTTGGGAGCTGTTGTCAACTCGCCGCAAAACGATAGGTTTATAGCTTTCAGCTTGCAAGTCACCTGTACCAGATAAGTTGAAATATTGATTACAGTAGTTCAAATATGAAATTATCCCAGAAATTTACTATCATTGAACATGTTAATCTGGGAAAAAGAGAGGAAGATTAATAACCTTAATTCCACCCCAGCCTCTCCAATCATCTTCCACTGGACAACTATGCATATCAAGAATCACCAATTTATTCAGATTGAGATCAATGGGAATCGAGCTACACTCGTGCAATCGAAGCCAGCGTATACTTGGTAAAATTCCTTTAAAATCTCCAGTCAGTCTTCCATGTTGCACTTCTAGATACCTTAATCCTGAAAACTTCTTAAATACTTGATCTGTCAGCTGAAGATTTTCATCTGCCATGTTAACTCTAAGAACTTCCACAAGATCACTTCCCTGAAAAACGAAATGACACTGGTAAATTCTTCAAGGCATCTGCCCATCTTGAGCAATCATAACAGGTCTTTCAATTAGTCTCTAATGTATGCTATGTATGAAAATAATATAAGCAAATTCATCAAGTAATAATAATAAAGAAAAGAAACAGATGATTATATCTGCTAAACATGCCAACAAAATAAATTAAGAAAATCACCAAAACCACCAAATTGAGTACCTCTTCCCTTTCTAACATGTCAAAGGCATCTTCATTGGAACATATCCTGCTGCGCTTCCATGGACGTTGATTATCTTCCTCATGAATAATTGCTCTGCCTAAATCTCGGACGTGATCATGCATCCAAAACTCATTTCTCTCATTAAATTTTATCAAGCACCTAAGCACGAGAGTTTTAATTCCACTTTCAGGATAAAATTTACAATCAGTCCACATGTAAAGGGGAAATACTTTATTTTCTCCAATAAAAGAACAAGCAATATCAAGGAAGATTTGTTTTTCATTGTAACTCAATTCGTTGTAACTTATTTTTAATCTCTCTTGCACCTTGGTGGGAGGTAAGTCTTTTAACTCTATCAACTTCGCTTGCCAAAATTCTCTGTCTTGGCGAAACAAAAGTGAACCAACGACCTTAAGTGCCAAAGGAAGGCCTGTTGCAACTTTCACAAACTCCTCAGACAGAATTGCCTCTTCCTCTTGAGGATTATCCGTCCCAAAGGCATGCTTGTTGAAAAGTTGAAGAGCATGATCTGGACTCATTTCTCCAGGTTCATACAACTTAAATTCTTGAAGAACATCCAAAACCCTTTTGTTTCTGGTCGTAATGATAATCCTAGTTTCCGAGGAGAAATCATCCAATTTCCCCAAGATTAGGTCAAATTCAAACCGATCATCCACATCATCAAGAACAATGAGAGCCCTGCGCTTGCAGATTCTCTCTCTTATCACGCGGATTCCTTCACTAGCATCTTTGACCTTATAATCAATCCTCAGAATGCCAGAGATGATCTTACTCTGCAAATTTATGGCACCATCATGTCCCACCAGTATTTCTCGTACATCTTCCACAAAAATATAATGATCTAACTGTGCTTGAACCTTATTATAGACAGCCTTGGCAATAGTGGTCTTACCAATACCACCCATACCGTAAATACCAATAATCTTCACACCTTCACAGCCTAAATTTAGTAGGTTTGTCACTTCTTCTACATGTGAATCAATTCCAATCAACTCATCCGTCACTAAAGTGTAATTCTGAGTAAGGTGTGACCACACCTTAGCTACAACCTCATCTATAATAGCTCCTTGCCTGAAAATTGAACAAAAAAGGTTGACTTACAAACGGAAATATCCAACCGAACAAATATCTAGATCGAGATAGTTCACTTCCTCCAGGTTTAATCTGCCATACTAATTAAGAGAAGAGCCAAACACATCTATCGATTTGTATTTAGATGCAAAGATGCAGCAAGCATAACCTTAGGTCCATCAATATCTATAATAGAGGAGGCAGTATACTTTACCCGTCCGATTCAGTAATGTGCCATCCCTTCATCGCCCCGACCTCCTGGAGAGCTTCCTTCCATTCATCAATCGTCTCTGCATCATACTTCTTCCTGTGGTGCTGAAATGCTGCCTTGTAGGGACCATCTTGACGCCGCACATCTCTAGGCTCCACCATAAAGAAAATGGGCAACATGATGTGGCCATTCCCTTGATTGCAGCACTTCATCATCTGAGCTAGCTCCTGAAGGCACCACTTGCTCCGAGCATAATTCGGAGAAAGAACCGGAATGTACACCTTCGATTCTTCGATAGCCTTGACGAGTGAAGGTGCAATCTTCTCGCCCTTACGCAGCTCTTCGTCGTCAAGAAAAGTTCGGATCTTGTACCGAACCAGGAATTTGTGGAGGAAATCAGCAAAATTTGCCCTGACATCAGGGCCTCTAAAGCTCAGGAAGACCTCATACTCCACAGGCCACGAGCAAGGGGTGGACGATGTTTGTTGCTGCTCAGCCCCCGATGATTCCGATTCTGACGATTTGGGGGTGTCGTCGGAGGGTTTAGAGTTCTTCTTCTTCTTCTTCAAAAGGAAGGTTACAGCCACCACCAGTGAAGTTACGGCCACGGCCACTTGCCAGAAGAATGACCATATGGTCCAGATCTTCAGATCCATCTCTCTTCCGAAACCAGTAGCTGTGGAATTATGCCGAGGTTAACCGAAGTTCCAAATCACCTACGTTGTGGTAGTTTGATATGACGATTCTAATCAGTTGACTTCTGCAAACAATTGACTTTCCAATTCCATACCAAATCGGCATAAAAGATATTGCTACAATTACCTCTGCCTCCATCCGACGCGGCAAAACGGCACCGCCGGCAGAAACCCTAACTAAATCACTGGCCGCTGACTTCTACTTCGACCCTGACGGTTACTCCTCCAATTAGCCGTGCGGAGGAGCTGGAGAAGAAGCGAAGATTCTTGAGAGCGGAGCAGCAGGATCGAGTGAGCAACAGAGCAAGGCATTGCCGAGATACTGCATCTGATTGGAAGAACTGCCGGGGACCAGGGGATTTGGCGGGAAATGTGGTCGCGGAGTTTTCAGATTGTCGGCGGATGACGTCGGTTGAAGGTTTTGGGGGAGAAGGGAATGATCGGAGACGGGGAACAGAGCGTCGGCCCAGTTGAGGAGTGGAGATCAAATTTGGGCCTCCATCGTCCAGCCCACTTCGCTTTATTTTTGTTCTGTAGATGAACGGGATGAGCGTCGGCCCGTTGAAAAATGCAGATGCCCAAGCACGATAGACCTGCCCATTTTGCAGTTCATGGATGAAGCAAGCTTTCGTGAGCCCATCTCTCGATGTTTGATGCTTCTGAGGTCAGTTTTCTAACTTGATTTTAAGCTTTTTAGGAAGTGTTCAGATATTAAAAAAAGTACGCCAGGATCATATAGCCCAATTAATAAAACTCTCGAGAGATTTTCGATCGAGAAGTGTGAGGTTTTGTGTCCAAACCACTTCGAGTTCAGTTGTGGCATTCCTGGACGCATTAAAAGGGGACCTTAGTGGAGGGCCCAAAGGGCTCAAGCAGGAGAACATTTATATTTGGTCTCGCTCCGCTATCGTTCAAGCGGTGTGTGAGTGAGGATGTTTCTGGGCCATAAAAAAAAAGTACAATGACGTTTGCGGGATCATTTCATAAAATAAAATTTTGTTCAATCGTCTGATTTTTAGAAAATCAGTCATTTTAAACGATACTGTTCGAATTATCTGTATCCGAGTAATTGGAATTAATTCAAACATATCAATTCAAAAAAAAAAATCATACCAAATTAATCCATCCAAATTTTATGCTGAGAGTCTACCAATCTATTAGTCTGATTGTAGAATAACATTTCCTAATTCTCAACTCCCCAGCAAGTTTGCAATCATGCACAATCTCAACCAGTTTTGCAAGAGCAATTGAACCCTCCCCCACCCTCCTCCAAGGTTCAAAGGAAAAGCTTGAATGAAACGGTAATCTCTTGGCATGAGTATTCATCGAAATAATTTACCACAACAATAACCAATTAATATCCTCTGCAAACCTTTCAAAATATGTATACTGAGCTCAGTCTTCAATTAATGGTAGTTGCTGGCCCTACGATAATCATTTCATGTTTAATCATTAACCTAAATATCACACTTAATGATCATAGGGCTAGTCCCACCATTGTGGACTGGTTGCTCCTAAACCAGAAACAAACATTCCAAACCAGCGAGGTTTAAGATTAAGATATTTCTAAACTAGTCATGTCACTTCAAAATAAATGAATAAAATACACTATCTATCCATGATTGCTTTCCTTAAACTCTCATCGTTCATTTGTGCCTCTAATTAATTATGATATCCTTAATTAGTCTTTAAGTAGCTTGACTTATAAACATAATAATAATAATAATGCGATCATATTTACAAGGCGAGGATCGGGTGAGTGTGTCTTTGACCAAGTCGACTCAGACCATTCAATCTAAAATCTGTATTCATATTTTCAAGCAACTAAGCATATTTGACTTAGTTATCATATTTTGGATCATATTATCCAGAGGCACATATACGATCTGTGTTAAACCCGCCTAGAAACCGAAAAGAAAAATATGGAGATTGTATATCATGCTGTCACGAGACCGAAACAATTTTATATTTAGGAAATGTATATAAATTGATAGCATTAATTATGTGGTGATGGCCACCGTACTGATAGAGTCTACAACACAACAGTCCTAGCTAATGATTTAGTCGCACGAATAAGAGACGTCGATTGTTGTTTTTCGAAAAATTGAGATGATGGTCTATTGATCTAGAGTCTAGAAAATTAGAGTTTATTATTTAGCAATTTTAAGGACGACCTTTAGCAACTCCCTATAAGATTACTAGAAGTATTGCATACTCTAGTAGAATTACGTTCCCAACTAATCTTTTCGATGAAATCTTTTCTTAAAGGAGACTCTTCTATCGAGGATTGTCAATTTGTCATACAATGATCACTTATTTTCTTGCACCCTATTAGCTAGAAGCTACAATGTTTTGTTGGTCCATGCAAATCCAATCAAATCCTATAATCATCATTATCATTCATTAATTCCAGCTGGCATTGCTTTTCCAGTCCCTTAATTGGTCTCTTCGTATGGCTCACCAAATGGCTTTTCAAACATATCTTCTGTTCTTTTCATTTTTATCCAAATGTCAACCAACTGCCACAACCAGCAGCATCATTAGCTGACTAGGTTAATAACGATTAATAATTGGTGTGGAGAGAGTGATTAAGTATCATAAATAGACATCTACAATAATATTAACTGTTGTCTCAAAATCACATGATATGGTGGCCCTATACAAATTTCAAATCCATCATCCATGAGTTGGCTTTCGTTTGAGAAGGGTGTGTAGGAAAGTGGTTAAGTATCATACATAAGCCTAGTTATTGAGATCAGTTGGTTTATGACATTATATTAGAGTTGATTTGTCCTTGAGGTCATGTGTTCAATTGTTCTCACAATCTCCAATACTAATAAATGTATTTAAAAACACATGGTGTTACAGGTCTGTGCAAACTTCAAACCCATGATTAGTTGACTTTTGTTTGATGGGTGTGTAAGGAAGTGATTTAGTATCAAACATGGACATCTCCCAACAACTCGAACTATTGAAACGAGTTGTTTATAGCGTATCCTACCACAAAATCAGAATTACATAATCTCACCCTCATGTTCGTTAATCACTATTCTAAGACTGCATATATGGATAAACCAGGGGCGTCCAATGGATGGTGGAGACCCTACTTCAAAATTAAAATATGTTTCAAATTGACTGTTAAGTGTAATGAAATTAAAATTATTACATTATAATATGATCTTTCTAACATTTTTAAGATAAAACTATCTATTATCTTTCAAATTTTTCGTATTCTCCATAATATTATTTCTAGTTGTCATTATAGCTATTACATTAAGTTTTTTTGTATTATTTTTAATATGAATAGGATTTTCCAAGCGCAAACAATACTTTAAAAATCAATATACATAGTGTGTATATACATGAGAATATCGCCCTATGACTAGAAATAATATAATTAAAAGTTTCATTATACTCATAATCGATTAATCATATCCTACAAATAAAACCTTGAATATAAGGTCGGATTAACTAACATATTTAGATTGAAACCCTTAATATTCGGAGGTCTCTCCTAACACACCCTCTTGACCGGCCCGGGACAAACAATTATAATTCACAATGCGGACTACTCCACCCACACGACTGAAAATTTCCCCTTTCATTCATTCTCCTTTCATGTGTTTTCTTTAGTAAGCATATAGCTTAAGGATCTCTTTTCATATGATACAATATCTTCATATTACGTGCGTGGAAAAGCAACATATTACACATTTGACCATGATTATCATCAAAGATGTCAAAGAAAAAAATTATGTAACAAAACTTTGCCATAAAGAAGAAGTGTGCCAAGGTGGATTCTCTCCTTTTTTTCTTCTAAAAGGTGTAAAGACAATCGAATTCCTGCATTTTCAATTCTGTTCAACGTAACTGGATCTCCCCCACAACTTTAAATTGGGTCAATCGATTTTTTTACCTTCATGCAAGGACAATAATTGTAATATAAAGAATGAGGACAATATATTACGTACTTTTGAATTATTGATTTTATTTATCGTGAAGGAAATAAGTCTTACAATATTGTAGTCCTTCTTTCTCATTGGGTTTTCATGGTATTTTAGTTTTTGATAATGTATTTCATAAGTTCATCATGTATGACGGTTAAGTACTAGTATAAGTGTACACTTCTTCCTTTCATGTTGTATCTCTGAAGCACAGATTGAGCATCCATGTGCTTGAGTTTGTCTGTCCTTATTCTGATTTTGGTTTGCTTTGTTGGTTCTCTTGTAATCGATCATTCAAAGTGCAATGCAAGTAATCGGACCCATCCCTCCTAGCCAACCATGTTTGTGGCAACACTATTTGTCCTCTCCATAACATTATCTCTTGCCTTGAATGTAGTGGGTGCATTCAAGAACCGGTTTAATTTGATTTAGAGCCCTTGGAGTCAAAGTGTTGATATATGACTTGAATTGGATTATTTGTCGTTGACTGGGTCTCGTCCGAACCTGGTCAGTAATCTTTTTATTTATCATATTGGATTAGGGCAGGGTTAAACTGTATGGAGAAGTGCTACATATAATTGTCAATCTCTCTGTAATATGTAGCTTCCTCAAATATAGTGAAACTGACTCTCTACTACCCGTAGACTAACTAACCGACACACACTGTGTTCGTAAACCACGTAAATCTGTGTGTTTTTTACTTTCTTGTATTCCCAATTCGTTTTTCATTGCGAAACTCATCTCTCGAATGAAGTAATCACATATCATACCTAGTAATCAATGCTATTTGGGTTACATTGTTTCAGGTTTGAAAGTGTGCTTCAGAAACCCAACATTATTTGTCGATCCTATACATCGCCTCCTATTTGCACCGCCTTTGTAAACACATGCACGCCTCAGAGTAACAAGCTTTATTGGATACTAGGTATAATTAAAAGATAATAAAATCAGGTGTAATTAGCAAACTCGCCGGCCATCCATTAAAGCTTGCAAAACTTGTCAAATGTGATAGCAAGAAAAGGCTTGCTAGGCATAGTTCGTTTAGGACGAATCCACTTAAAATTTTGATAGAAAGAAAAATATAAGTATTATTATTTAGATGAAAAGAAAACCAAATAATAATACTTATATGTTAGATGATGAATTTGATGAAGTTATGACCCATTTTGGTCATTCATGTGCAATTGAACTTTGATTTAAATTATCGCAAACTACCTAGGTTTGAAAAGAGGTAAACATAATTATATTATATATTAGTACAAAAATTGTTATTTTCGAACTCCATTTCAACAAATTTATAGTAACGCCAATCAAAACAGAGATCGATACTTTTATCACGACCCATCGTTACATAATGTCCACGACTCGACTCCATATATGAAGTTTTTTCGTTTCCATAAGGTAGTATATATTCGAATGGCCTATTTGTGGAACCTTTTTGGAGTAATTATAATTTAGATTAATGCCCAGTATTAATACAAAAGCTGCAGCTAGCCCCGACCGAAGACATGAGCCCTCCACACAGACAGACACCATATATATCGGAGCCAAGTTAGTTGGAAGCCGGTTGTCGAGCTCAGAACTTGCAAAAAGCTGCGAGGTAACGTTGGAGCAGAAAGGCCCTTTCTTTTTTTTAAATGCCACATTTGGAGCTCATATGTTTAGTCACTAGAAAAAATTAATATCAATTTTGGTCACTTGAATTACCGAAATATGTCACATTTAGTCACTCTCCCGTTAGTTTCCGTCCAAATCTATTAACTGAGTTGGACGGAGGCTAACAGAGAGTCACCAAATGTGACATGTTTCAGTAATTAGAGTGACATTCATAAATAAATAAAAAAGTAATTTGAGTGACCGGAGTTGGACAGAGGCTAACGAGAAAGTGACTAAATGTGACTTGTTTTAGCAATTCGAGTGACCAAAATTGATATTAATTT